GAACCTAACAGGGAACTCTGCAATGATTTGTGGACATGAATGCGTGTGATGTCCACCAAAGAGCTCACGTTTCTTGTCTTGGAGTGCAGCCCCAGTTAAAGGGTGTCCACCACGTTTCCGTTCAGTGCTCAGTATCAGCAAGTAGGCGAAAGGTGAATGCGCGTTAAAGAAGGCATGATTTGCAGCAGCCAGCCTGGAGATCTTGGCTAGTCGATTGAGCCAGTTGCCACAACGGCCTGCGGAAAGCAAACGCGACGTGACAGCAAAATGACAGCGGTCGCTGTGCGCACGGTGACCACTCGAATTGGGTTTTGCAGCCCTTTTGCGTTTGGCTTGTCGCAGGCGTGCGAATCAGGGCTCCGAGCCAACCCTCGCACTCTGACAGTGTCACTCACTACCTACCGCAGAGGGAAATTATTTGATTACTTGGGAGCCTCAGGAAGAGGCCGAGTAGTCAGAGTAGTCCTCCGAAAGACAGACATGTCGCAAGTGAAAATTACTAGGAAAAGGGTCTCGGGACAAAGATAGCAAGTCATGGAAAGCGATTCTGGATGACCACTTGACTCTGCGAGTCTTCGCCACTTTCTCCCCGGGCGTCAATCTTGACTCGCGCGCCCAGATGTCAACTTCAAAAGCTTGCCAACATGCACGTTTAAGCGATATTTTTGTTGTTGAAGTACGAGAAAACGTGCTTCGCTCTGAGAGCCTCCGCTTGCACCTCCAACTCCTTCAAGTGTGAGCGTAATGTCAGACAGTTCTGAAGTCCGTGCAGAGGCGATAGCCAAGGCAGTCGATCACAAAATCAATGACAAAACAGAATGACAATTAGAGCAGTGTCAAGCAAGGCGAGGAGAAGCACGAAAGCAAAAGAGGAGTCAGAGTCAAGAGAAAATGGAACGGCGAGTAAAGAACAAAAAACAGCACGGGCTAGAACAAGAAAACAGAGAAAACCGCAAAGTGAAAAGGCGTTCCAAAGCTGGGTTTGGATCAGATCTCTGGGTTTGGACGAGATTTCTGGGTGTTATCCTGCTGGTCCACGAGCATCACTGTACATAAAAGTTTCTGGCACTTGGGAGGCTTCCAGGCACGCCCAAATGTCGCAATGGGGAGCAAGTCACTAGTTAGAAAGTTTTGAAAGAATTAGCTATTGGCTTAGCCTAACGTTTGTTTCAAGACGATAAGAAAACTTATGGCCGTCCTTTGTCTCTCTGGACAAAACAAATGTTTCTTCTGAGGTCATGCTTCACTCTTTTGTCGCATGCGCGGATATGTTAGTCTGCAATGGAGAAACACACGTTTCCCGTATAAAAGGTTTGTTTCTATCTTGAAAGCACATTCTTCGTGTGAAAGTTTGTTTTGCCTTGGAAACTTTTCTGAAACTCTAGAATTGCTGGTGTGGAAACTTGGAAAACAACTGTTTCATCGGAGAGTTTAGTTTGTTTGTTTTCTGGGAATCTCTGAAAGGAAACTCACGGGTACAAGGTTAGTTCCGCATACCGAAACTAACGTTCCAGACAAACTATTGTTCCAGCGCTGAATATAAACATGTCGTGATCTCGGGCTGTTTGTTTCTCTGCGCGCAAACTCTAGTTTCGTCAGAAGGTTTGTTGTGTCCACGAAAATGTTTGTTTGGAAACCTTTGTTTTGGTAACGCTTCCGCGGCGCAGCACACCCAGCGCAGCACACCATCGCGGCTTCCAGCCCCTTGGCTCTGTCTTCTTAGGGTCGGTTTTTGGGGTCATACCCGCAGGATAAAGGGGGCGGGGTTGTTTGGGGGGGGGGGGTTGGAAGGGTGGAGTGTTGCTCATTTTGTTAGCATTTTGCAGGCATGCTTTTGCATGCAGTTTCCTTACATTTTGGCGCTATATGAGCGTGCGATTTACCCCGTGCAACTCTTGTTGCGCACGTTGCACGCATTTCTGTTTGCATTTCGCATGCGACCTGCAGGCTATGTTTGTGCATTTTGTATTCATTTTCCATGCGCGAGTCCTATGCAATTTTATGCCTTTGGGCGCCCGTAGAAAAAATGAAGACACTACTGGAGAGAGTTCGCGGTTAATTACAAGCCCGGATCACAAAGCCCGAACAACGGCTTTATAAACAAGCGGGGGGATTGGGGGGGGGGCGGAACCCCCCCCATTAGGATTAGAAAAGCAGATGAAGACACCAAAAGAGGAAAGCGCGAAATTACTGACAAGGATCACAAAGCCCTGCCGCCACTTGCTGGTGATGCTCAGGGTGTCGCTGGTGATGCTGTGGTGATGCTGGGGATGCTGGTGATGCTGGCTGCGAGTGCCTAAGAAACGTTTCAACACGTTTGTTTCTGGGCTCTCCCCTTCCCCCCAGGCGGAAAGGTGAGTTCCACTTGAAAAAACATGTTTTCGGCCCCTGAACTTTTGTTTTTGGGCTCAGAAACTAACATTTGTTTTCTTTTTTTCCCTTTGTTTTCCCGGCCAGGCAAACCTTTGTTATTCCTTGAAAAAGCCAACTTTCTCTGTTGGAGTTAGTTTGTTTCCCACCCTGGGGGCGGCCGGCGCCGTGTGACTAAGTTTCACACAAAGAGTTTTCTCCCGAGATGTTTGTTACTCTGGTTTAGAAACTTCTGACTCGCTCCATACTCATATTTCGGAGGACTACATTGTCTACTCACAGCTGGCGCTGCACACTTGTTTTGCATCCCCTTCGCAGAGGATTGAGGACCTGTACATCACAGAGGCGCGGAAATGTCGCCAATGGATCCCCAACAACAAACATATGCCCATGTCAATGTACTGTTGGTGTCGGAAACACGTGTTTCCGTTCAGGACACCGCCCGCGAGTGGGCGTCTGAATTGGGCGCGGTGATGGTGGGGGAGATGGACATTCTGGGAGGTGTCAGTCCAGGTGCGAAGTGCATGGGAGCAACGTGCTGAGCAGGAACAAGCCATGCCAGCTTTTTTTCCCAAGCACTATGGCAGCGTTGTTTTGCAGCAACAGCCTACTGTCAACCCACGACAAGTTGATCAGGGATGTGGGTTCTTTGCTTCAACATTGTACCTGCTTTGATGTTGCTGCATTTTGTAGCATTGACGCATATTTTTCCTTTGCGCAGGTAGTCCGAAGGCAGACAAGTCTATCAGCCTGGAGGCCATTTGGCTTGCAAGTAGCGGTTTCGAACACGAATCATGGCGTGTCCATTCTTGTTATCCAAGTCATGTTCGACTGAGAATCCCTTTGCTGCAAGCGAATCATCCCCGCGGGTTGTGCTTGCAGATGGGAGAAGCGACCAAAAGGAGACTACTATGGGGAAAAGGACTACCATTTGACACCTTGCCACTCCTATTGTGCCCATTACTTGCTCCTCAAGAGGAAGTGGCCCGCAACGAAGGCGTGACCTGACCAATTATTTTAAGCGCTGCCGCCCAGTGCCTCCACCCCGCGATGCTAATCACTCAATTGTCTTAAGCAGGCATCGATACCACTGTTGGATTCCCTAAAAAATGAAGTTTGACAACAAACCCAGATGCTGGCTCTAGGTTGTTCCAAATTCCAGGCCAGCATCTTCCTCCTGACATCTAAGCCTGTCCCATAGCAATGCAAGCCCAGATGTCTATCGCAACAATAAGAGCCGGTAGAATAAAGCTACAATGAATATAGATAGAACTAAACAAATAAGCTACCTAAATCCGAATCAATCCTAATAAAGATAATCAATAAAGCTGCACGGGCAATATCCCCGGCATCCCCACGGATGCATGTAAAACATATTTAACAAAGCTAGATCGAATGAAGCTAAACAATAGCATCAAGTAGAGAAACACAGGCAACACCACCGGGGATTCTAGCCCACAGAACTTTGATAGGTGTGGAGGAGCTATCCCTGGTTTCTACTTGTCTTTTATCCAGGCACTTGGGTCACCTGGCGGATTTTGTGAAGGCCATGGGTGTCTCTGCATCGGCCGGCCCGGGATGCTTCTCTCTGAGGCTTCGGATGTGGATGTGCATCCCCTCCGGCAGCTGTGTACGCCAATGGAGGCCTTCCAACGATGTGCTGGGGGCGCTGGCGCTGGGGGGGGGGGGGCGATTGCGTGGGGTGATCATCCCTTGTAGCGGATCCGAAAAGGAAACTATGGTCCATACCCCGGCAGCAGGGTGTATTGGAAGGGAAATTTGTGCCCTGCAGCTTGGATGGTCGCTTTGCGAAGCTCGAATTTGCAGAAAGCATAAAGAAGACGTGGGGAGGTGCCTTGCCAATTAGCAGCAAGACTTGGCGGCTCTTCGCAGGTGCCATTGTCACTCTTGCCATCCACCTTCATTCCGCGGATGTTGGCCTGCGCTTTGCTTAGCATGGCGGACCATGATTTCTACTAAAGTGGCGGGAGGGACGGGATTGGACGGACTGCTACGCACGGATCCCGTTCACAAGCACCGTGGGGCAAGCCGCGACAACAAGTGGCTAAGTGGCTGGCTGCACCCTGTTTCTGAAAAGCACGATGTGGTCAGAGTTTCCCTGGAGACAATACAGCAGTTTTAGAAGCACCACTTCAAGAGGCCGCTGCAGCAGGAATGGCACGGTGACATGTAAAGTCAGTTGGCATTGAGTAAATCGCACAAGTCAAAAGTATTCAGAACCCAAGCTGGCCATGACTGGCTCACCACCAAGGCCCGGAAACGCTATTGCAACGCTCGCTGAAGATGAAGCTCGGCGGCAATTTAGGGGAAGCCTTCATGACATTTAGAGGTCAAATTGCCGCAGCGCATTCTGCATCCTGCTGCTGGCTGGCTGGAGGGCTGGCTGGCTGGCTGGCTGGCTGGTTGGCTACCTCCTCCTGGCTGGCTGGCTTTCTGGGATGCATGCTTTGGCTCTTGAGCAGGACGCCATAAAACCGGTGACCATCTTTGTTCCTAAGATTGAATCCGCTCATTCGTTCAGAAGCCACATGTGCGAGTGCATCGTGCTTCCATGGGTAATCTTTTGCGCGAAGTCAAACCCAAAGAGACCCTCGTTTTGAAAACTCCAAATCAAAACCAAGAAACAACAGGTGGAACTCATGTGGTCAAGCCCAGAAAAATTGTGCTTTGGCAAAGCCCAAACGTTGTATTCCTAAAATAAGCCCAACCACGGTCCGGAGTCGGAAATTATAGGGCCCAAATAACCGATTGGCGTCTTTGACTTCCAATATACACTTAACGTGTTATGCATGGGGCCAGCAACTGAGAGCACGTTAAACCGCTCATGGCCCAAGAACATTGCAAACTGAAAAGGAGGGGCAGAAAGTGACACCAACCGATACCAGTGCATAAGGATACAATGGTTGTCGGGGTGTTTGTGTCGAACAGGTGGTGCAAGAACTTGTTTGGCAGGTTCACGCTTTGGGGTGTTAATGTTCGAATCGGTCGCTCGAAATCATTCGTTGCAGTACATTGAAACCACGCAATGGTTGGCTCGGATTGTCAGTGGCCACGCCGGGAATCCTGAGGAATGACTACAAATTGAGCGGGGCACTCGGCTGTGGTAGTCAGTTTGCATTAATACTGTTTCGCACGTTGCACACACATTCTCCACATGTCATCCCATGCTTAGTCCGTTAAAATGGAATGGACAATGCAATGGCATTAGTTCTTGCATGCAACGACACTGTTCAGCAGTATATATGTATATGTACATATGGGGGCCGTCCGTAATTGCATGTCTAAAACTTATGAACAGCGACAACTTGTTGAACCGCGCGATTGGTAAAACTCGAGCCGCGGTTGGCCGGCGATTGGACCGCGAAAGGGCAACGCAATTATCATGAATATAGACGTTGCATGTTGCCGACGCACGTCGCGTTCATTTTGACTGCGCGGTCTCGACTGCGCAGGCCCAGACAGTGCTTTCCAAATCTGATTGCTGGCAAGGGCTGGAAGCTGCAAACCGAATTTTCATCGCCGAATTCCGCGATTGGACGGCGATTGGACGAGTTCCACCAGTGGGCGCCTGCCCATCCGAGCTTCCTGTTTCCGGGTATGGATGGAGGAAGGCCAGCGCTTGAGATAAGACGGCCAATTGTGAAACAGAAGCAGCAGCGATGCCCAACATTGCTCCGCGATTGGAATTTGCGGGACCCCGATTGGATCGCGATTGGCGGTTCCCAGGCAAAGTAATTTTGGATAACCCCCATATAGGTGTTTCTCTAAGTAGGGACCTCTCAAGATGGTTGGTTTCCGTTTGGTTTCCTTTTGAAGCCATTGATCACGAGGTCCCCTATTTTGAGAAACGGCCATATATGTGTATATATATAAATATGTATAATGTTCAAATATGAATGTATATATGCAAATTTTTCTTCCATGGCCAACGCCATGGATGATCCAATGCCATGGATGATCCCATGTGTCATTAGCAGCCTTAGGTCGGCAGCTTCTCCGGCACTTTCCAAGGCTGCGAGGCCAGATCCGGGTCTGCCCGGATCAATCTACTGGTTCCCCCATACCCAAGGAAGGCTGTACTACATATGTACGTACATATATGCACATGTAAGTTTACTTGGTATGCCAACCGTTGTGCTGACTATAGTTTGCTTCAGCATGATCGTAGATAGACAAGCTACAGTTGCGCACCCCTAAGTTTGAGCGTGGGGAGGCATTGTGCTATTTGTGACTTTTTGGGAGTTGCAAGTTTCGGCACCCTTTGACTTTCTCAGTGTTTCCTTTTGAGGTCAGATGCTGTGACTGTTTGTTTCTTGCTCCTTTCTCAGGTTGGTCTGCATGATTTGATGTTGCTGCACTCGACTCTCCTTTTGCTGCTTGCTGCGACCTTTGCCTATAGGCACGGCCGGCCAAGACACCCGCGCGCGATTGCCAGGCGGGCAGATTGAAGCTGCAGTACAAATGGCCGAGCAGTTCAAGGACAGGGTGCGAATGCGTTCGTGAAAAAAAAATACTAATTGAAAATGGTTTAAAGTATACATTTACACTGGGGAAGGTACTACTTTCTTTGTAAATATCCAGTTGTTTGTGAGTCCCCGTAAAAGTGAGGCCAACCCCTAGACACATAGCATATGCTTGAGGATAGAGGCGGAATCCAATTCTATCGAAGATCTTCAGGACCTATGGCCAACTCGTTTGTGGTGCCCATGCTTCTAGGGGTTGATTCCCCATTCTTTTCAACCATCGTTCTTTTCAACAACCAGATCCGTTTTCCCTGGGATTCAAAAGATGTTTTCTAGAAAGAAGGATCCCTGGAAAGACTGGAAATGGAAGGTAGCCCTAGAATGCTTCAACTTTCCAGTGCTTTTGACACATGGAGGACCTGCGGCGGATGCTGGATACACACGGCCCAGTGGCACTCCTGAAGGAGACCAAGGTCAGAATCTCGGCATTGCACAAGTGTTGCTTCTTGATGGCAAGCTTGCCCGCGTTGCATTGATACAATCCGCACTTCTAGACTTGTGGAGCTGCACTTCGATCAAATCCGTTTCTTCTGCAATTCTGCAGCCTTGCCAACGGCACTTTGACCAACACGCACAGTGGTTCGCCCAATGGATTGCGATTGGCTAGAAAGATGGTGCTTGCCAGAGCTTCGAGAAGCGTCGTTGCCATGACAGGAGCCAGATGCGGATGTCGACAACGACAAGGCGGCATGGGGCTTCCGTGGCGTTGGACTCCAGTTTCATTCCACGGCTCTTCACTCTGCAAAGGCCCATCCCTGAAGGTCTACAGCTGTTCCAAACCACTGTAAGCCTTGGATTGGAGGTAGGGTGTCTCGTCAAACATAGTCGACCCAGCCGAAAATAACAGCAACAACCAACTGGTGACCACTTGAATTGCAACACCTTGTCAGCAAGCTGTGTGGTAGAGATAAAGTCGTACTACACATCAGTCGGAAAGACTAGGTATAGCTATCCGGTAAGATGATGTCAACTGAGGGTATTTTATGTACTCCAACAGCGTGATGCTTGGGGTTGCAACGATTCAACAATAAGTGGAATCCTCCAGTCTGTCCTGACTTGATTGATGCAAGAAGACTGCCACAATGATGCTGGCTTTTTCCCCTGTCATGATGCTGCGGATGTGTCTCGTATTTCCTCCAAGTCATCATCCCCGAGCAGGGCTCCTTTCAAGGGAACAACAGGGATGGCGAATGAAATGACAGGCACAAAGGGCATCGAGAAGCAGAAACACCTGCTGTCAGCAGGAGGCAACAGTGCTGCAAGTCAGCAACAATCATACTACACTCAAGCATGCTTTGCGAACATCAACTCTGGCAACCTTGGTAACGCGGACTCTGAAATATGCCATATTCCTTCTTCGCTTCACTTCATTCCAGTCGGTTTTGTGCGGAACGCCTTGCCAGTTCCTTGGCAGGTGGTGAGCGATGCCAGGCTGCAAGTGCAGCTGGGCGGCGACTTGGAGGTGCACGCACGCGCTCGTGCAGAAAGACATGCAGACACGCTGGCAGAGAGAAACACGGAGAAACGCACAGGCACATGGAGGCACACACAGGCACAGAAAGAGACACCCAGAGTCACGCAGAGACACACAGAGAAACACAGAGACGCACAGGGACACACAGAGACGCACAGGGACGAGCAGAAAGACACGCACGCAGAAAAACACAGACATACACAAAGACACAGATACTCACACAGACAGACACACACGCGCACACACACACACAGACGAAGACACACAGACAACGCATACAGACAGACACAGGCACACACACGCACACACACACACACACAGATGCGCAAATACCCACACATCGCAACGCGGAAAGACCCAGACCGACACTCCGCGAACGCACGCAGGCAGGCAGCATGCATGCGCGCACACAATTGCCATGGTAGATGGCCCACGATATCACAGAAAGGGTCATGTTTCTACAATGGACATTTTGCAAGTCACATGCTTTTAAGTCATGCTTCAGGCTAGTCTTGATGAGCGGTCTTTCCTTTGGGTGATGCTTAAGACCAGTCATGGTTATAGTTTGGTCTTCGGCACGCACGACATGCGAACTTTGTGTTAAGCGACTCTGCCGGAAGCTTTATGAACGGTTGAACGGCTGAGATGGCTGCGCTCGCAATTGGCAGACTCTCGCTTTAAGAAGCGTTTACCCAGTGGCAGCCCTGCAGGCATCCTTGAAGGATCTCGCCTCCATACCTTGTGAACAAGGCCAGCAGTGGGTTCGGCATGACCAAACCAATGGCTTTTGGGTTAAAGATTTGTTCGCGAGCCTCCATCAACCCTACGTATGCTTGCCCGCGCCCACTCCCACCAAAGCCCAAACTCAAAGAGGCTTTGTGTCCCGATATCTCAGCCCAAATCCTAAGTTGTTGGGAAGTTGCAGTCCAAAGTTCACAAACCTGAACCCACGCCACCATCGCTGAACGGGTGTACTGGGGACTCCATGTGAGATGACTTGTACTGGTTGCTACACATCTCACGTGTTTGACAGCTAGCCGTCCATTTTCTCCAGGAAGATCCTGATAAGATGTCCCTGCGATGGGGAGATTGTCCTCATGGTTTGAAGCAACTTTGTAGAATACGATGCCCGCCGTATAGTACAGTTCATCCCATGGCAGCAAGCGTCCAGATCTTTGGCGCAGTGGCTGGCAATGATGAGGTTTGTGCGTGGGATGTGCAGAGAGAAGGACTTCTGTTTTAGTTACAGTGCACACCAACCTCGCGGAGTACGTCATTTTTTTCTGGATGAAGGCCCACATCTTCGCGGCGACATTTGTTGCATGTCTTGTAGGATTTTGACTGACAGGGCCAGTAGGCGTGCGTAGGCATTTCGCGGAGGCTCGTGTTGCGAAGCTTCGCGTAGGCAGTCGCGTAGGCGGCCGTTTATGAGCTTGAACTGTCATGTGACATGTTGAGCATTCTTGTTATGCAACCCATGGTTGTGGGACCGTTTGTGAGTGGCAGTTTGGCGAAAGCTGTGGGTAGTAGTTTTTCAGCTATTTGCAGCGTGACGGCGCAAGCTGGCGGTTGCTGGCGGAGGGAGCACAAGGTTCGCTTGTCCGGCAGCTGGCAACTCGAACTGCGGCGCTGCTTCTAGCCGAGCAGTTGTGCTATTAGGTAAAAGCTCGTGTAGGCTTCGCGTAGGCTTCGCGTAGGGCTGTGTCTCGCGTAGGCGGTTTTTTGGGACTGTTGCGTTTCGCGTAGGCGTGGCGTAGGCGACGCGTAAGCAAGATAAAAATGATAAGGACGCACGCAACCAAAAAAACACTGTAAATGGGCCTGTCTCAAAAATTACGAGCCTGATTTGGGTGGCTTTAAAGGCAAACCACAAGCAAGCCAACCATTTGCTGGGTCAATCACGCTTGAAGGGCAGATCACTTGCCAAAGTTTTTTCAAGCCTGCATCGGTCCCTTTGTCGATCCAGGCACAAAATGTGTGGTCCCAAGAAGGGCGGGGCCACATTCTCGACAACCCCCCCAACATGTGCTCTTGGGTTGTTACTTGAGTTCCCATGCTTCTATAGGTATTGGGCATGCAATGTTGAGTGCGCTCCTGCTTGCTTTCGGATGCGCAGGTTGGTGTTGAAGGCTTGCCTTTTCCTTCGCCTTGCTATCAAACCGAAGTGCCAGGATACACTTCACGGATTGACCTTGGGAGTTTATACTACTAGTACTAGGTGATGATCGTCCTTTTCCATTTGCTGCATGTCGATCGCACTTTACTGTTCGCAACCGACTTGTCCCGGGTTTGGGTTTGTTTTTCAGCCCGTGTCCCTGGAAGAGTGTTGTGATGCGCTTGCAGCAAATCTCGCCGAAGTGGTGCCTAATCTCAAATTTTCTTCGAATCAACGGGTTTGATTTGCCTCGCGATCTGAACGGCCAGGTTCTGTGGAGGCTTTTGACTTGCCGCTGCCCCGGGCTGTGCTGATCTTGGGTAAAGCACTTGCAGTACCGGGTTTTTGGTTGTACTTTACCAAGGTACACAACCCCAGCGAGAATGGAAACACGGGGTTTTGCTATTGCTCTGCTGTGGATCTCGAAACGTGGGGTACAAAGGTGAAGGAAAAGCAGGCCGTGGGAAGCCCACTCGGATACAGAGACCCTCAAAATTCCATACAGGCGTTGCAGAAGCCATTGGCATCCACTTGACAGGTAGGTATCTCATACAACGGCAGGTTACAGATTTACCAAAAAGTGAGTGCCGGACATTTGGCGTGAAGGGGAACTGCAAAAGGACAGTTGGCACTTCCCACCCTTGTTGACTACAGCACGATAGCAAAGGCGGTGCATTGGTTTGTTGGTGTTTCCAGTGGAAAGCTTTGGGGCTAAGAAGAAGGCTAGGGGGATCCTTGTGGATGTCAGGGAGCTTGTGGGAACCCCTACCCGTGCGATTCCCTTTCAGGTGCTTTTGGTTGTGTATGGTGTGTCTCACAGATTACACTATGACACCATTGGTTTGTGTTGGCTTTGTGGGAGCCCCAAAGCTTCTATAACGTGGACAAGCCCAGATCATCTCTTACTACGGCCTTTTGATTTCAGATTGTTTATTTCATTTTTTTTTTTAAAAAAAAAAATCAATCCATGAAGTCCTCCTCCATACAGTTTCATATTAATATAGCCTTCATAGCAAACCTGAGGGGACCCTTTGTGGGTTGGTTGGAAGACAGAATGCCAGGACAGCAATTTGTTTTAGGGGTCGCCAATGGAGATAATTTTGAGGCGGAGTTTGTCGCGGCCGCTGCTGGCCTTCTACATCCTGGTGGACTTAGCTGTGGGGCGCCCGTAGTAGCGGGAAATAAGGGGGGAATGTTCAGATTAGCACTCCCTTTTTGCATATTATGGGGTTGCCTTTTTGTGAGGTTACCCTTGTTGGGGTTAACCAGCATGGGGGTCCCCTAAAAAAGACACCCATAGGAGCTTTTTTCAAGTTGTAAGAACCAGGGTACCCAGCAAACTAGAGCTCAATGAGAGGCTTGTAAGTGGGGAGACCTGACCATGGAACATTCCCAAATGACACTAAATGAGTCTTTCCTGGGTTGAGAAGGCCCTCTTTGGCAAGGAGCACAGGAGAAAGCGAAACTACGCGTTTGTGGCGTTAATCCAGCTAGCTTCTGGCATTGACCGCTGTTGCGCGATCAATTTCTTGGGAGGCTTCTGCCGTTTGGACGTTTTCCTGTCACAATGTTCTTGTTGGTTGTTTCAGTTTTTGTCATGGCAACACAAGCTAGTTTCACCAGTATTCAATTGCGGTTTAGCAATTCTTTGGCGTTTGTATCGCGCTTTCCTGTGGTACACCCGCTCGGCAAGCACGGCTGGCCCGTGCCGACGTGTCGGTATCACTTCCCATAGACCGCAACGGCCCGTACGACGAGCTCCGCATCTCAGTGGCTGAGGTCTCAGCAGCGCCCTTCAGCCAGATGAGCACCTTCTTGCTCAAGAAGGCTTCGGGCCTCCTTTTGTCGACATGAGGTGTGGTTGACTACACACAGCACTTGTTTAAGTGTTGTTTAGATAATAAGTTGGATCAATTCAATCTTGAAATCGCCAAACTTTGTGCAGTTGAATTGGGTTCAGCTGTTTGGTGCAGCTTCAGTATGCCTTTGGCTCCGAGATCGAGCGTGCACAGCTGAGTACGGCAACCATTTTGTTCAAGCATGAGATAATGTCTTGCTGGAGAGGTTTGGGGCCCACCCTAAATGCCACCAGGTCTCATTTGTGCTGTTTTTCGTTACAAGGAACCACAAACCACACTTCTGTTGCACTTCTGATCCAGGAAGCAACCACGGAAACCAGCCCAAACTGGCGCAAGCGATGCTTTTGGCAGCGTCTTGCAGCTTGCTCATTCGTTGGTGTTTGCATGCCCGCGCAAAAGATTGCTTGCATGACCCATGCCAATGTCCAGGAAGGGCTCGCTGTTCTTCCCGCGTCCGCAAAACTCCCATGCGCACGCTGCAGGCAACACCCTGGCTGTCGGGTGAGGCGGTCAACTGAGCCTTGAAGACGGAATATGTTTTTAGATTTCCGTGGGAAGAGAGGAGGGCGGGAACCAGCTTTTGTTGATACTCAACTCTGCGCACACGCAAAGACACACACACACACATATGGTATGATGCAGGTTTGTGTGAATTACGACCAACATTTTCTGTTAGTCGAGAATGACAATTGGTACTAAATTGCCACAAGGAAACGGAGCTTACTCACCAAGATTCAATGCCACACCTGACAGACTTCATGTGACGTGCGATCGCATGGATTTCCAACAACTGCTAGCAGTCCTGAAAGTCGAGAGTTCATGTTTTCTGTTCCGTCTCAGCCTCAAAATAGGGGATCCTTCCTTCTGATTCCCCTTTCAAATCATTCAGAAAGGGATCCGCCTTTTTGAGACACACCAAAAATCAAGATGGCCATGGGTCAAAATCCTGTATTTGCAGTGAACATCCCAATCCCCACTAAAATAGACTAAAATGGGTGGTGCACCCACCCCAAAATGGGATCCCATTGGTTTTGACCCACAGCCAGACAGCAAGCGTTGCTTCTCCCAGGCGGAGGCTGGCACGGAGTCGGTGCCGCTGGCGATGCAAAGCTTCTTCCAGAATTGGGCTGCTCAGCTGCGTGACGAACAAACCTCATTGGTGTATTGTTGGCTCGGGGAGGACATGGGGCACCCAAAGTACCGAAAAACCAAGGGGGCCACCCCATGTCCCACTCAAGAAAATTGGCTGCCTCCGTTGCTCAATGCAAGTTTCAGGGCGTTCTTGATGCTCTGCTCCAGTGTTCTGGACATATTGTGAGGGCGTTTACTCTCTGTCGAGGTGGAGCGACTGTGTGTTCTGGTGGAAGTACGACCGGAGCTACGAGGCAAAGCGTCGCTTCGGGAAAACATGACTGAGCATTTTTCCCCCAACACCTGAAAGCGATGGGGTCTCAGCCCAGATAGGCTCCAGGGTGGTCCGGGGCAGTTCTGATTCCGTGAGCGTGGAACCCTCGCGAGGTTCCCCGAGAGTTCCAGGGATGCACGGGTCGGTTCCAAAGGTAGTTTCCGCGAGGGTTCCGGGAAGAAACGGTTCCGAGGAGGGTTCCGCGGAGCGTGGTGCTGTTGGGGATATCACCTGAGCTCAATGACTCAATTGTCCGCGCCAAACAAGGATTGTGTTTGCATCAGGGTATTGCATGCGGTTAAAGATTGGTGAGGGATAAGCACGTCAGGAGGAGGTCCGTTGGACATAGATTGACATAATTTGTACACTATGCTGTGAGAAGACTCGTCTAGCCACACTGATATGCGCGCTGCTACAACACCATTGATCAGCAGCAATATGCCCAAAAGGCAGCATATGCATGAGTGAGACTACAAGTGCAGTTTGCTTGCACATACGCACGCAGGCGCACCCACCCACCTGCCCGCCCGCCCACCCACCCACCCACCTGCCCACCCACCCGCCCGCCCGCCCACCCACCCACCTGCCCACCCACCCACCCACCCGCCCGCCCGCCCGCCCACACACACACATACGCGAAAGCTTGTGTTAGGTGTAAGGACACCTCCTCGTGTCACTGCATTTACACTGAACTTAGGATCTTATCCAGGCCACTGCAGTGATTTTCCATCCTCTGGTTGATCGTTGCTTTTTGTGGATCAAATGGGATCCATGAGTCCCCCCCCCCCCGCCCTGTCACCGGGATCTGACGCAGACCGCGCGTCCCTGGCCTCCATCATCTTGGGCATCGAGACGCTGCCGTCGGAGCCGGCGCTGCTCAAGCCGGGCGCGCCTAGTTCAGAGCCAATCAAAGCCTGGCAGAAGGGTAAGGGACAGTCCCAAGGCGCAGAATCCGCTGTGCAATAACCAGATCCCATCACCTCCTTTCAGAAATGCAATACCCCTACCACCTTTCCACTAAGGTATGCCGCATAAGGGTTATATTTCACCAAATGTGTTTTGTTGCTTTGAACGAGGGGAAGCAGTTGTGAGTATATATAGTTGTTTTGGCATGGTTGCGACCAGTGCCATTTGAGCAGCGCCATAAACCCTGACAATACAAAGTAGTAAAGGGGGGTGTCCTATAGAATCCCCGCGAAAGCCAAAACGCAAGCCGCGAAAGCTTGCGAAAGCTTATCGCGAAAGTAACTAAAGAAGGTCCCGCCGCGAAAGACCCGCGAAAGCTTGCATGCTGATGATGATGCGGTGTGACAGTCCGCCGCGAAAGCGCCGCGAAAGCAATTCTAAAGAAAACGAAGCCTGCGAAAGCAAGCATGGGGTCGCGAAAGCATCGCGGAAACGTCCGCGAAAGCAAGTTCATAGTACCGCTTTTTACAGAAGAGTATTCGGCACGGCTCATTTGTCACCATGAAGCTTTCTTGTCTATGTTGAGGCCGAGCGGCGCAAAATCTTGTTTCACAGAGCGACGTTTCCGATACAGGCGAAGCAGAGGCATTCGCTCCGGCAGTTGAGGTCGCACCTGAATCGGCTGCACACGCAAAGACATGCTATTTTGTCTTTGGTGGAGAGCGTGGATTTGGTGAAGAAAGGACCGAACTGTTTTTCTGTGTGAGCATAGCATATATGATATAGCATGCCCAAGCCTGTGTTGGCAGCTACTTGTCGTGGCATTTTAGAGTGGGAGTCGCATCAAGTTTAGGTGCTGGCACAGGGCCTCAGTTCCCGTGTTGAACAAAGGTGTTTGGCAACAATAAGGTCCCCCGCAAAGCTGACAGCTGAGAGCGCAGGACAGACGTCAGCATCACAGCGGACGTTGGTTTGGCACCTGGCAAGATTCTTGTCCTGCTACTTAAATGAGTCAGACATTACCGCACTGTTTGACCATGGTGGAATCCTTGCCTGTCCATGAATAGACTTGCTTGGAGTTCCTATCAGTATTTGCTTCACTATGGCAGTAGTCTACCTCAGCAAGTGGACGTCAGGAACAGTTTGGCATGACATGCAGCGCAATACACAGGACAATTAGCGGAGGCACATGATTTGCTCGTTTGATGCATTCCAAGCACCCGCTTTGCGTGTGGCTCCAAGGTTGACTTTCTCTCCACCGCAATCACATCCTTCAACCGGGAGGAGGAGGACGGCTCGAAGGCTTGGACGGTGCTTTCAACTTGGTGAGGGCACCCTGATTGAAGCATAGAAGCACCACAAGATCAACCGAATGCAAGGTTGATTGTGGATGTAGGTAATGTTGGTTTTGCTAGGCCGTAGCTTAAGACAAGACAGGTCAAAGGAACCTATCTTTCGTGCCGGATTCCGATGCGCATATGCCACTCAACATGTTGTTTCTCCGCCGGTGGGTCTGCAGCGTCTAACAAGTGAGAGTGCCATCAACAGAGAATATCGTGGCTTCAGAATCTGCACCACCCAAAATGCTGATCATCGGCAGCTAGACTGTTTAACTTGCTGGTGATTCATGTCGTGTGTTTGTTGTCATGCTTGATGCTTGACACTTTCCTGCCTGCTTGCTTGCGGGGACTTGCTTTCTTGCTTGCTTGCCCGCCTCTTTTTCCGAGGTCCGTTGGTAGGTACGGATCCGGTGTTTTTTCTCCTAGGGCTGTGTTTTTTTACTAGGGCTGGTCCCCTGGTTCGTTGGGTTGGTTGGTTGGTTAGTTGGTTGGCTGGCCGCATCCCCGGCATGACCACCCGCCCAACAGCAGCCTGGATGTCAGCCCTTCGCTTCTCCTAAATCAGCCCCAAACCACCCCAAGACCAGCCCTCATGAAGATCTAAGCCAGCCAAAACCCCCCTAAGTTAAACCAGCCCCCAGCAACTCCCAACTGCCGTGAAATCAGAGCCAATAGGCCCAATTTAGGCTGGTGCTGCTGGGGATGTTGCCAGCCCTGCGCAAAGCCAGCCCTAGTTGGTTGGTGGGTGCGTGGGTCGGTCGCTCGATGGGTAGGTGGATAGATCGGTTGTTTATGGTTTGGTTTGGTAGGCGTGAAGTTAGTTTTTGGTTTATGGTTTTTTATTGTTATCCTTCTTTGTTCTGTCTTTCTTTCTTTCTTTCTTAATTTCTTTCTTTCTTTCTTTCTTTCTTTCTTTCTTTTCCTGTCTTGTATTTTATTTATGTCTTCCTTTCATTCTTTATTTATTTCTTTCTTTTTTTTGGTTTGTGTTTGTATTCATTTGACTGTTTCTTTCTTTGCTTCTTTCTTGCTTCTTGGATTTCTCTTTGTGTGTTTGTGTGTTTGTGTGCTTGTTTGTATGCGTTTGCTGGATTGCTTGCTTGCTGGCTGGCTGGCTGGCTTGGCTTGCTTGGCTTGGCTTGGCTTGGCTTGGCTTGGCTTGGCTTGGCTTGGCTTGGCTTGGCTTGGCTTGGCTTGGCTGGCTGGCTGGCTTGCTTGCTTGGGTTGGTTGGTTGGTTGGATGGCGTCTTAAATCTGGAGTGCCCTCCAGCCAGATGCTTGGATTCCCTTTGACACTATCCAACCGCGAATTACCTGGTGGATCCTTGTGGAGCCGTAGCCACATGCTAGTTTTTTTGCCTCCAGGTGCCTGTTGCAGAAGGAGACCGCCACGGCCCCAGCGTAAATGTGTGTCCAAACCTCGAGGGGCCACCTTTTGGAGCGCGTGCAAAGGGTCTCAAAAAAAAGAATCGACGATTGTAGGGGCCGCCCGATTTTTCGGCCAGACCTGAATACCAGCATGAGCCTGGCAACAGAAGGCAGTCTGGACGATGGGGATCGTTTCAACACGGCCATGTATCAGGAGAAATCATTTTTTTTGGCCCAAGCATGGTGGATTGGCGGCTTCCCAGGATAGACCGGGGTTTTTCCGACAGGTTTTCTAGTATGTAGATAGACGCACGAGCTTTTGGCTGCGAAAAGCAAAGAGAGCCTTGGCAATGGGCCCCGCAACTGTGTACTTGGTCCAAACTGGGTTCTGCGTCAGAACCCCCCCTTCTTGGACGGGCAAAGGGACCCCCAAGAAGAAGAATGAAGTTAATCAACGAGGGGGATGTTCCATGAGGAAACACCCGGAGCGCGTTTCCAGCAAGACATGGAAGGTGAGGAGGCCGTGCAAATCTCCGAGGGCCTGGGGTCTTCAAGGCGTGAATTGGGCCTGGGGTCTTCACCGGAGCTCTGCATGGACATTTGTGTTCATTGGCCAGAATCTTTATGGCTGTGGTTGTCAAAACCAATGGGATCCCATTTTGGGGTAGGTGAATTCACCACCCATTTTAGAACCTATTTTAGTGGGGATTGGGATGTTCACTGAGGGTACGTGATTTTGACCCATGGCCATATGTCAGAACCTAAAGACATTATCGGCAAAGCTGAGATAGCAGAGAATTCCTTTGGTTGGACCTGGGAAGTTATTTTGATTTCGGCTCTGGAAGCATGGAGTGAGGCTTTGATGGTGCCTCACAAGGATTATTCTGAATCATGCTGTGTGCACAGCTGGATCAGATGGTGTTTGCACAGCTTAGTCTGGCGTGGGTAGAAGGCCCAGTTGGCATATTTGTCGCCTGGATGCCGGTTCATGGCGCTTCAACTAGAGCTTCGTTGGTCGGCCCGCCGGCAAAGGCATCCAAGGCCTAGTGTCGCAATTCGAGCAGTTGTGCTCGTGTTGGAGGTGTGGTGTACTGTGCGCTGGCCTTCAAGCGCTCTTGGCAAACAGAGCAACCTCACAAGAAGGTGAAGCAACCAAATTTCAATGAATTGGCTGAATTGGCCCTTTAGGGCATGCTCCTTGGACATTCCTCAGTGCAGACTGGTGATGGCATCTCTCAAATAGATATAAAACAGGTAATTCGCTCAGCGCATCGCCTTTGGAGGTTGAGATGTCAGCCAGCGCATCGCTCACACGCCTCTGTGGCTGTTCCCCCAGAACGCCAGGTACCTGCTCCGCTTCTTGGAGTACCTTGCGCGAGTGGCAGACCTCATGCACTCTGCGTCACAGGAATGGCATGGATTGGGCACCTTTTGTCTGGGTCCAAAATGGCGGTTTCCCTTTTGAACATGCCCAAATGACGAACATGAATATGCAGAATCCCCCTGTGTGTGTTTTGTTCGTCCTCTATGCCTCCACATCTATTGATTGCAGGATGAAACAACCGGACACCCTGGTAGCACCGCCTCAAGCGGCTGCCAGGATGCTGGCACGCGAAAGCCGAAGAAAGCAGTGGAGGCCAGCACTTACCAACTTTCCGACTCATGCTACTAGCAATGACCAGCCGGAGGCTATAGCAAGGTCTATCAGTGGTCCAAGACAGATGTGTCATGCATCAGCCGTGGGAGCGCTAGCTTGCCATGTTTTCCCAGCGCCAGGCTCAGCAGAAGCGGGAAAGTCGGGAAAGCATTACAGTGACGCAGCCTTCTCGGCATGGAATCCTCTCATGCCTGGATGTGAGCTGAAGTGCAGGCGTCAATCATCTTGAACGGAGTCGCAATCAAGATTTTGGGCCATGCTTGGCCAGTTGCACCATGTCCACATGTTCTTTTGGAGCACTCCGCATACGTTGCAGCTCGCAGCTCTTTCGTTCCGAATCCTTGCCTTCCAATTGGCTTCCAATCCTCACTGCTTCAACCGGCTGGAGACCGGGGAATTCCCTCCAAAGATGTTCTTTCGTTCCTCTGAGGTTTGAGAGCGTCGATGTGCCAGAGCCGGGTGAAGAGACCGCCGAGGAGGCGTCTTGTGGCGAGAAAAAGTGGCCGTTCCAGCACAAGAGTTTTTTTCAGCAGCTAGTGGCCTAGTTGTAGCGACTACAACTAGGCCACTAGCTATTGTAGTCTTCTTTGTATTGGATTGTACGTGTAGCTTTGCTTTGTTGAGCTGCCGTTTTGACCATGGAAGGGCAGGTTAGCGCCCATTTGGAAGGAGCTGGCCACACCTCACAGCCAGATATGATGACCCTCAAGGAAACTTCGGAGTCGCGTTGTTGGCACAACTGGCGAATGTTGCAATATTTAAGTCTAGTATGATTGTCAAAGGCACATCGTGGCCTTTCCGCTTGTTGATAGATTCAGCGCATATTGTTCCTCAGATACGTCACAAGGTTGCACCAAGCTTGTAGCATTTGGTGCTCGTCCACACAGGAACTGGCAAATACATGACATGGCCTGTTGCCAAAGCAATCTGGGGACAATGCTTGCTCCCTCTGTTCACATTCAACATTCTTGCCAGAGCTTCAACAAGCCTTGTTTTAAACGGGCCAGACTTGGACACGGAAAATCAGGGCCACCTATTAGGGTTCGTTTGTTCAGATTGCAGTTTTCGGTGAAGCTTTCTGGGTCTAAATGCGGCTGTTTGATTGATGGTTCAGCAACATGGCAGGGCTGAATAGGACTTCACCATGCTCTGTCTGAGGCAGGCGTCACCAAGCTCTTTGACGTGCTGGCAGAGCCGCAGGGAGCCACTGGTTAGTTACGGAGGATTTGAGCCATGGAATCTTACCGACGAAGCCATGCTTACGAGTCTCGTGCATTGCTGTCTGCTACAGTCAGCACACAAGTTGTTGCCGCTTGTTTCCACATCAGTTCCCTTGTCAGCAGCCAAGCTTGCCCGTTTGTTTCCCGGCTTTCCCCAGCTTGAAGTCAGCCGGCGCAGAACGCACCGCATCGCTTGGGAAGTTACTTCAATTCCTTATAGCTCAGCTGTCGCCAAGGCCCAAGGGTATCATGGCTCGACTGCTCTTCGAGTTGGGCGGTCATCGCCAGGCGCCGATGGCTTGCTTCCGCCGGTCATGATGTAGTTCGCAATTTGCAGCGCCACTTGAGTAGCCTTTGATAAGAAGTGCCTCTTTCTCGGCAAGCTCTCAGCCAATGCATGGTAGCTTAAACATAAGCGATACCTTCCCCCCCTTGCCGGCACAAGGTGCAACATGGTGGAAGGATTTCGCGTCCAAACCCTGACCCTTACGCGCTGCTTGATCACACAAAGACGTTGTCGACAGGCGCTCGCCCTTTCCGAGATCATGAGCATTGACATCGTGGAGGTTCGCGGACAATTTGGCACAAATTCTAGGGGACACTTCCCCATTCTTTGCAGGGATCCTTCTTTCCAGAAAATCCAGAACCCCAGGTTGAAAGAATGGGGAATCAACCCCTATAGACAAATGAATGATCACCCTTTGAAGGCAGAAATGACGGGTTTCGAGGGTCCCAGCTCCAAAAGCTCGCGAGATGCCAGCCAGGTCATTGTGAACTCCTCCTTCAAGTGGACGGACGGAGTCGGGCACTCAAGGTAGCTACAGATCCCAGAGTTTTCCATCGCAGCTGCGACCTGTGAAGGGAGGCGCGGGGTCAACCTTGCTGGCACCACATTTAGCTACATCCTTCGAGAGAACGTGGATAGTGCTTCATTGATGAGTTTGTGCCAGATCTCAATGTACACGGTTGTGGTTCAGGATTGCTAGCCACGGCGTGGTTCTGCGTTGCAAATGCGTACAGTATGACAACACCTTTGCCAGCTGGTCCTAGGTTTCACATTGTTCTTCATTCACGACCGCGACAGTAACATGCTGACGAGAAGCGCATCCCGAAGACGAGCTGACAAAATCCCCAGATCATTTAACCTCTGGTGGACAAGAAGGGGGAGATGCCCTGTCGTTGGAGAACAAAACGGGCACTTTTGCAAAAATAATCAAAAGGAAAATCAACAACTCATGCAGGGGGTGCCCATAGCACGCGGCCAAGGCTTCCGATAGCCCCAGCCAGCCTTGCACCTAGTTGCGAGTTGCTTGTTTTGGGGCGGGGGGGGGTTTGTTCGATATCCGGAGCTTCACTGGGAAATCGCGCTCTGGGAGCGATTTTCCGGATCACGGCAGGGCAGCTGGCAGATCTTGAAGCATCCTTGGAAGAACATTGTCTCGCCACATAGCCTTCCATGCAAGTCTAGGATGCAATGCACATCGAGCACTCACCGAGCACGTATGCACCGAACACACACCGAGTTTACCGAGAGCAATACGCGCTGTGTAAGCTCTGAGAACGTAGGGGACATGATGAGACATCAAACCAGTCTTGCCAACGGTTCTTTGCCAACAGCTATCATTGTATCTCAGAGATTGATGCCCCAACAGCTGAAAGCTTCGTCACTGCACGGATAGGCTGGGGAATGGTTCAGGCTAGGGGGTTCCAGGGCCCGCTGTTGGGGATACCTGGGCTTTTTTCGTGTTCGGAGTGTGCAACAAATGGGCAGCGCCAAAACCCTTATGAAAGGAGTTAGTTGAGGGCCTCTCCCAGCGAAGCCTTGCGAAAGCTGAAACGCAGGGCGCGAAAGCCTGCAAAAGCTTGCGGCGAAAGTGATTGAAGAAGAGCCCGCCGCGAAAGCGCCGCGAAAGTGCATGTTTGCACTTTTTGTGTTGCTCGCGAAAGCTCCGCGAAAGTGATCATGACAAAACACATGCCCGCAAAAGTGAAATGTGTGTCCGCGAAAGCATCGCGAAAGGTTCCGCGAAAGTGGTTTGTTAGTAGAGGGTTTTATATGCCCTATTTTCGGCACCGCTCAAATGTCAAGGGTTTGGCCCTGCTCTGTCAAACAAATTGTTCTTAACTAACACCCACAATTGTTGCGGCTCTGTCAATTTATCAAAAGCATGGACTTCACCTTGGCAATCATTGAGCAGACAACAAGAACAGCGCTCCAAGAGCATGGTCTGGACATGTTCAGAGATGACCCCGTTCACAGTTGGGCCCAACCGTGTCAAGCTGCACTCACTGATTTTACATGTTTGTTGTTAGGTTGCATATGTTATCACAGATCATTCATTTAGTGCCTATCACTGTGAAAGAGGACAGCGTTGATGTAGTGAGTTGAGACCTTTTGGATGTCACATAATATGTCAACAAACGCCATGTTGTTCGCGGTTTTCCTAATTTGAATTGGTCAAGAGGACATTTACATCGTGGAAAACCCAACAAGTATCATTGTTGAGATGGCCAACCAAAGACAGGGGTTGCCTGTGAAGCCTGTCGCACCAAATGTGAGTATCAGAGGCCTGGTTTGTTTGCAAACGATGTTGTTATTCGTAGTGTGCAACAGCTTGAAGCCAAGGGTTCTAAATCTTCATGTGAAATCCATGAAGCGATGAACGACAGCAGATGGCATGACCAAGGCCTGAGAATGAGTGGCGGTAGTTAACGCAACCAAGCTGTGAAATGAGGTGCTGGCAATTGGATAGACATTGAGTGGACATCCAGATTCCAAAACCGGCCTGCAACCAGGACTTGGCACTGCAATTCTTCAGTGTTTGTTCTCACAAAAGGCTCGATTTTGACATTTGACCCACATCGCGTGCAGATCGGACGATCCACAATGCAACATGGTACGTACATGCTTGATAATGGGATATGAGATATATTTCAAAAGCAGCGGCAAGGCACGGTGCGCCGCGGGCGTGCCCGGCGCAGCTGGCACATACCCAGCGCATACCCGGTGCATACCCGGCGCATACCCGGCGCGTACCTGGCATCTCCACGTCAACGAGACCGCCTCACCTCAGCTTGCGGATGACGTCCCGCTTGCCAACTTCTGCGCGACTAATTGCGGACGCCGCCTCTTCAAGGCATCTAAGGATAGAGTTGGACGCGATGTGTGCCCAGTGGCAACCTCGTGCCCCGGTCTGTACCCGGCGCATCCAGGGAGTAGTTGGCGCAGGCAGTTTGGCAGCTGCGGTTCTCGTCGCGTGCGCGTGCGTTGAGGGCAGCCATCAGTTGCAAAGTGGTTGCTTCGCAGCATACACAAAACATTGAGCTGAGCTTCGGAATCGAGCTGAAACAGCATTAGAATCTAATCCAAGTGGCAAATGCAGAGTTTCCTGTGAGGTATCCAATGTCTATGGAGGCTCGAGATACAGAGAGAGAGAGAGAGAGAGAAAGAGTGAGAGCGAGGGATCAGTGCTAAAGGCCTGCATGGCAGGACCCTGCGTTTGTGTGTGTTTGTTTGTGTGTGTTCCTTTCGTGCGGCCTCGCACTTCTTCAGCCATTGCCCCATCGTCACCCCCAGTCTCTGCAGGTGGTGCAATACCTGGCGCAGCACGAGCGAGCGCTGCCTCAGGTGCGATGCACCGAGGCCGGGTGAAGACTTGATGGGACCGCTCAGGGTGTGGATGTGTATGTTGCTATTCAGGGTACGCTTCCCATGCTTGCGTCCCCCTATTTTGATGCGACATGCCCGTGTCTGTTTTTGTTGGCCCCCCATCGGTTTGTTGAAGTCGTAAGGGACTGGCTGCTGCGGGAACTTGTGGCCAAGAGGGCTTGATTTGTATCGCATTTTACGTAGCGCTTTGAAGACAATCCACGAACCGCACATCATCATGCAGTTAGCCACACCGCAGAATCATGCATGGATTTGGCTTGCGGCACCCTGTTTTGCTCCCCAAGACCCAAGAGTCTAAGGTAAGTAGAGTGATCTACTATTTTTTCAGGTTCCCTTTCTATATCCTTGTGAACAGTTTCTATATGTTAAAAGAATCTCCCATGTCAAATCTTCCATATGCTAAATGTTCTGTTTCGTGAAGATCCTCGACGGTGGCTCAGGCACCCCTTCTGGCCACGCTGGCGTGCCTGGAGTGCCGGGGTCACAAGTGGCCCTCCTGGCCCATGCTGTGCTTCGCCAAGGCACGCGCGGAGACCCGTCCAAAAACATCCCCCTACCGAGGCTTGGCAATTGGAACTGGAAAGAGGGACAGGGCATTGCGATTTTTATTTTTATTTTTTGTTGGGGGGGGGGGGGTTGTGCTTACTCTCTCTCTCTCTCTCTCTCTCTCTCTCTCTCTCTCTCTCTCTCTCTCTTTCTCAATAAATTTGATGTTTTTATACACAGCACACATATATACTATATATTATATATGTGATATCTCTCACACTCCCTTTCCCTCTCCCTCTTTATTTTGCTCTCTCTGTCTCACTCTCCCTTCCTCTATATATTTACGCATTGTCTCTCTCTCTCTCTCTCTCAATCACTGGCTGTAAACATGTGCGATCCCCAACAAAGCACCTGCTGTTTCAGCCGTTGCACTTCCCTTGGCGGCGCGCACCTATGCACTAAGTGTTTAGGGAATGGCGCAAAGAATGCCTGCAGCGTTTGACATCTGATTCCTATTTGGAGCCTAAAGTTCAGCCGCCCACCTTGGTGCACCTTGAGACCAAAGAGGGTTCTTGTCCCTTGTGAAACAAGGGCACACGATTGCACAAGGATGGTGCCCCTGGCAAAGAAGGATATTGACAACAGGATCCAGCACCCTTTGCTGGATTGCAGGCCTTTTTTCCGGATGCTTCCGGCTCTGCCAGGAGAAGAGCCAGTTCTTCCCGGCCTTGCATCGCTGGGTGGAGGAGTGGCATTGGCGAACGGGCACTGGTCCGGAGTACTGCGAGATTCGGTAGACCTTCGTGGCTGTTGGGCTACGTAAGTGTCTAGTGTGTGGTGGGTTTGACTCTTGGTTTGGAGACTTGCATTACCCTGCAACAGAGGCAAGGAAGTCCAGCATCAGCTGCTCCGATGCTATAACAAATTTACTTCTTGGTATGAGTATGTCTGCACTACTTTAAGAAGCCTTAAACGAACACACCCATGATGAAGATCCCTCACTCATTTTAATTAACTGCGGTGAATTTCATTCGTGCAGAGGCCATCCTTTGTTTTGAAGACACCTAGAAGTGACTGTGCTTGTAGGGACTGCGAGCGCGTATTTTTTGCATGGCAAGGGCGGGGGGGTCGATGCATGCTTAGACAGGCGGACGTCACTGGAGACTGCAACCTGGCCATTGCCGCTGCTGATTTTGAAGACCTGTTTATGGTGTTTTCTAAACTTCCAGTTGCTTAAGAATATTACTACTGGAAATATGTTTAAAAAGAAGTAAAATAACAAAAAAATCCAGGGGGCTGAAGCAAATTATGGAGGTAAAAGCTGGGTTACAAGGGAGGAACCATCTACCTGCATGAGTTGAAGCCCCGTGGGGCAGAGGGAGGAACGCCTTGCCGCCTTGCCGCGTGTGTCCAATGGGTTGGTTTGCAGGGGACAGGCCCGGTTTGCTGGGCAATGGCGGACCCTGGTTTGCTAGATGAAGCCCAACTTTCCCTCGATGGATACAGGATGACCCGAATTTGATGACCCTTATCGAAGATTCCTGATTGATTCCTTTCCAATGTATCCCGCCTTCGGGTGGCGAGGAACGCTGGCACGCCTTGCGGGCAATCCAATGGGCCAAAGCACGCTCTGAGGCATTGGAAACCGAGAGCGGATTTGCTGGGTCGGAGACAAGCGCTGGTTGAATGCTCATGGAAAAGATAGTTTGACTACCTGTTCCGGTGTCTGGATCAGGAGTACGGACACCAAACTTGGGCTAGGCACGTGAATGTGGTCGTTGCTAATGCTGATGGTACTATCAGCACCAGTTTGTGCCTTGTGATATTCCCAAATTTAGCTCGAGACAATAAGCGGGTGAATCAATGTTAAATGCAAGACGTTTCATGTTGGCTACACTCCTGCAAGCCAATCTTTCTCCCTTGCTTTCTTAGCTCCTTACTCAAACTAAGTAGAATTATGCTCCGCTCAAATGCAGCTCTGATGCATTTGCTCTAAACCAATGCTAAAAAGACTGGCCTACTGCGTGCCAAGAGCTTGGCTGTCAATTTGGCACACGTGAATGGCAGATACTGGCACAAAACCAATTTCATGCCGGCCTTAGAGACCACGACCGGGAGGCATTGATTCTAACTTACTGCCCAGTGCGCTTGGATGCCAGCAAAGGTTCAGGTGGATAACACAGCCCTTGTGAGATGCCTCACATGTACACTCCTGTCAGCTTCGCCTTCCCTTGGCAACTGCTCCGGAAAAGCACATCGCCCCGGTCCGATTTGCCAAACACGCGTAGAGTCATTCGCTAGTACGGCCAGGGGAAAGAGGCTGGAAGCCTTCCTCCTTCCTTGCTGGCTGGACACTCGGAGATATGGATCCCTCAATGAATCTAGCCAAAGTTTGATGTGTTGGAGAGGGAGCTGCAGTAGTAAAAGTAGCCCAAGACTTTACGAGTCTGGCAGATGTTGACTGCGGAGGAGTTGGGGCCTACTTTGTTTTGCGTCGAGAAGCTTGGTTGCCCGATCATGCCACCTGACATGGCTCTGGTTTGAGAAACGAGTTTCAAAGCTTTCCCTACACTTCGAACACATCGGCTTTGGCCAAGGTGAGCTATGCTGGATCTAAAGGGGCCGCGCAGGGTGACGAGGCCTGTAGCATACTCCTAGCGCCGAGAGCCTACAGATATTTGCAGATGGCAGCTGCGTGAAGGAATTCTACTGTGACTTACCAATGGTTAAGATTTGACAACCTGGTAAATTGGGTGTGTGCCATGGGCAAACGCCAAGGTGGAAGGGACATGCCACCCGAATGCATCGGATGCTAGGAGTCCAGACTTGGTGTTGAATTTCAAATAGTACTGCGAGCCATTCTATTTTGCGTTGTGCAATGTGCGAAGGTGGCAGACGACAGCTCCCAGGACATCGAAGGAGCTTCGTGAATGCCAGTTGGCCAAGCGTGACCAAGCAGGTGATTGTATCACCTGCTTGACCGGTGATCTAGACGGCAGTAAGCAACATGTGCTTAAAAAAGGAATGATCCAATGTAGTTGGACCACGGTGTGTAGACCTGTTATTTTTTCTTTCTTCTGGGTGTCATGCCATTGTTTCGGTGCTCGCTTGGTTCTGGATGTTTCGGGACTTGTGGCCAGCTCAGCACAGCACCCACGCCGTCCAAAAGATAACATCCGCTCAGGAGCGCACACTTATCATCCACGCCTGCCAAGTGGCAAGCGCACTTTCTCAAGCGCACCCGCACAACACTGTATCCAGGCCAGAAAAAGATGATAAGCTCACAGCTCCTGAAGAGCACCGGCTGTGCGCTGTATCCGCGCCGAACAGGATGACAAGCTCACCCCATCGATTGTACCCGCTCAGCACTGTATCCACACGATAAGCACGCCGCTCAAGAACACCCACAGTTGAACCTTCATCTCAGCAAATAAAGTTCCTGCGCGAACAGTGCGCACAGAACGAGCATGGCTGAAGCTGAAAAAGCGAACGCAAGGTTCCTTTCTCCGCGACATGTGACAATTCACGTGACTGAAGGTCTCTGGGCTTGAGGGGCATGCAAGTGGCAACCTGGGCAGCAGGCAAGTGGAAGCCCAGAGTTCAATACCTGAACCTCGCTGAAACCTTTGGCGGTCTCCCAAAACACACGGGGCGCCATGGGCCTTGAGCCGTGCGTATGTTTTTCCGAAGGAAGCGGCTGGCTTCGTGTGCTCAGGAGGCGATGGTTACAGCCAGGCGGAGTTTGCGGCTCTCAGCCAAGAGGACCCCGAGCGCTCTTTTTCTAGGTCACTGGCGGGACAGGGATGCTTTTGCAACGGGCACACGAAGGATAATTCAAGATAGGATATCGTGCACACTCAGTTCGAAGCCGAGGCAATCGTCAATGGCTTGCTGATGTCGCGGCTTCATCATGCAAACGCCATGCGGCCTGCTAGAAAATGCGGAAGAGACTCGCGCAAGGAGCAGCTGGCTCTGCGGGCTGCCGGTGAAGATTTGGAGGACAGGCTGTGGCTTGAGAACTGGCTGTTTAGGAAGCGCGGAAATAGCCAGTTTCATGCATGTGTTCGTAGGCTTTAGCTTCAATCATTCATTTGCCCCGAGAGAAAGAATGAGATCCTGTATTTTGCTTTGACCCTTTTGCAGGATACCGGATTGTTGAACGGCCGTCTCAAGGGTATGGACAAGGATGAGTGGTAGAATTGGTAGAATGCAGATGCAACAGGCGGATAAATCCAATACCGATTCCAGAGGAAGAGAACCGTTTGACATGGCCTCTGGCCGCGCTTTGGCTTGCATCCGCTGACTCAACATGCTGTTTGCCGTTCAAATATACTGGCGGAAAGGGGCACATGGCCTCGCACCGTCCGGCTGCGCCAGTCTTGCATGTCGGCGGCCTACACCAAGCTGGCGAACGCGCTGATCGCTCGCAGCCCAGCAAACCATCACAAAGAGAGTTGGATCAACCTGGAAGTTTCCCAGATCCATGCAGAAATGCAAATCAGCCAGCCCTGCAAAATGTTTTACTTGAAATAACCTCCTGCATTCATGATTGCCCTTTGGATTTGATATGAATGTCAGTGTTTCCACCAAGGCAGAAGGGCGCTATGAGGTTGCGCTGCAGGTGTGCGACGAGCAACCTGTCCCAAAGAGATGCGGAACGAGCTTTGGGTACATATGTGGATTCCATGTTCAATTGAGGGGCTTTCACTTGGGTGTTATGAAACCGGGAAAGCTGCAGATCTTCCATGATCTTCCACATCATGCATGTCGTGCATTGGATTCCGACACCTCCCCCAGGAGGCCTTTCGCCTATGTACTCGTACCGAGAGTAGAACCTCTGGAAAAGAGGATAGAAAGAGTCATTTTGAGTATTGACGATCGAAATTCAATGTCGTTCAAAAGACTGAAGAACAGCGTATTGACCACTACGCTTACATTCAAAGAGTCTTGCAGCAGGTTTATGAATGTAGCTCTTGTGATGGGAAGTCAAACTGTAGTGGGGTCCGGGAAGCAAGGTACCTGCCGGACAGTGACCTCACCGACAAAGTTCTGCATCTTTACCTAAACAGCAGCAGCCCGAGGAGGATTGCTGTTCACCCGCTCTCCAGCAGTCAGTGGGCGTACTAGCGAATGAAACGTTTTCATGAGGTAGCTGGAGGCGGCAGCCGGGGGTTCGCAGTACAGATTGCATTTTACCCTTGAGCCGTGTGTCCCTTAGGCCAGTATGCAGGTTCAGGTGTTGATTTGGCCAGGTCCAAACTTGCCTTTGCGCTTCCCCTAAGCATCACAGACATAAATCTTGGACAGGCTCCAGTGTGCTTGACTCATAAAACTCAAAATTATTCAGTCAGATGACACGATACTGTAGCATACACCGAGCCATCTGGTTGTGTGAGGATGTCTGCCAAACAAAGAAGTTGTTGTCTCCCGTCGCCTGTCGACGGCATGCTGAAGCGCTGGCTGAGTGTTGGCGCCGAAAGTTCGAGGCCCCCACGCGGCGAAGAAGCTGAGTGTGGTGCACCAGGAGTTGTTGGACCACGAGCGCCTTGCTGGGCCTGGCTGGGATGGGTAAATCCTCACGCGTCCACAGACGCGAATATTGTGCGCTGGAACACTTGGGGTAAAAATATCCGAAGATTCCACAGTTCAACAGAAGCTTGCGGCATCATTGGATGAACATGGATATTGGAACAGTTGCTGATGTGTTTTCTTGACAGAGCATCAAGCAGCCAGCAATAATCAGCAGCTCTTGGTTTTGGTGTCGGCGCTGGTCATGGCGTTGATGTTGGTGGTCTCAAACGCATGCAAAGACCTAGCAACTGAAGCCGTAAGCAGAGACACAATGAACAACAGAGAAGCCTCCATACCAACTTCGGACTAGGACCGGTGCTTCTGTTGTTTTGAGGCAAGTATTTGTCCCTGTGCACGTTTGAGTATGGACCTTTGGAATATCCGTGGTCTTATCCCTTTGCAGTTGTTGGAGCTTTCAGGCACGACAAACTGCATATTTACAGGGACTTAAGACGTCTAGGCCATGCACAGGAGCAAACACGTGCATATCATCAAAGTGGACATACGAAGCGCTTGCACTTTGGCCGCTTCAGAATCCGCTAAGATTTCTGTGCTGTTTCTGTGCTGTATTTGTGTGTTTGTGTGTGTGTGTGTCTACGTGTCCTGGTTTCTGTGCGCGAGCATCACCTATATTGTACAGTGCAGGGAGTCGTCCAAAAGGTCCTTATATTCGGGTAGAAGGGGGAGACCTTTTGCTCTCTCCGCGAAAGCTTCGCGATGGAAGTCGCGTTATTTGTTTTGCCGCGAAAGCCGGCACAAAGTTTGGTCGGACTTGCATGCATGCATTCACAGCTTTTCACATGCAACCTGAAGGGGGCACATTTGTGTGCTGCACATGCGCATATTTGAACGGTGGCATTTACTTCCGCAGTTGTACATGGACCGGGTGTTCAAGCACCCCTTCAAATATACGTTCCCGGGGACTGAAGCTGTTTGATGGTTTTTGACTACTTGCCCATGTGGGGGTTGATCAAAATTCCTGGCCCCGAAATGACCATGGGCAAATTTTCCATTTAGTCGGAAATATCATCTTTTTAGTGGTTTCCCCAATGGTCATCCCATGTAAATAACCGTGTGATCAACCCGCATGTACCGGAGTTCTATGTTGAGCCTTGCCATGGAATTTCAAGCCCTTGGCCAAGCAAGGTGCATGTACCGCGTGAAGAGCCATGCCCTCGCTGCGCAGCTGACGCTGGACAGGTGCGGGCACCCAAAGGTACAGGCGAGACGCGAAGATTTGTGACTTGAATCAACTTTTGCTACAAGCATAGACGGAATATTGATGTGGGCATAGGATAGAACGCCCCTTCGCCCGGAAAAGCCGGTCCATTTCAGCCGCCTGTATGACTTTCAAGGATTTGCTGCTATTGTTTAGCAGAAGTACATGTTGCTGAGATTTTGGCGCTCCTTACGCAATAAGTACAAGGTTGCCAAAGAACATGTCGAGGTACAAGCGCTGGGATGTGGACACGGCCGTGCAGACCCTGTCGATGTGTTTACAGCGCGCGGGTCTCAACTAGATTTTGTAGCAGCTCTGATGCAGAAAAAAGCAAAGGCTTGGTTTGGCGGATGTGCAAGTCTGAGGTATTGAACAAGAGCCCAATACTGACAGCAATGAGGCACGGATCATGGCGTGGCCAAATTACTGCTATGTCAGCCATTGCCTTTGTTCTGGTGACCAAACATGGCATCCAAACAGCTGCGGTAAGGTTTTTACATGCAGCCCGCGATTCGAAGCATGAACGCCGGTGCGCTGGGGGTCTTTTTGGTTTTCCTTTTCGTCACCCCCAAAAAGTGTAGCTCCATTGGTCCAATGGACGCCATGGGGATGAAGGGGGGCCGCCAGGCCAGTCGGGCTGCTGCACTCAAGCAGGAGCTGCGGCGGATCCTGCAGAGGAGGGGGCACCGGAAACCGAAAGGAAGCCAACCCCCAAAACCTTCCACCAGGCTTTGTTTGCCCACCAGGTACACATCTTCGATTCTGTGGGCATTTTGGAGGTAAGCCGGCAAAAGGGAAACCAAAGGGACATCAACCATTGGGGGGTCCCCTAATTTTTTCAGACGCCCCCTCTTGTGAGGCTCGGTTAAAATATCCGGATTCGGACTCACCACTTTCGCTAATTTGTTCTTGGCAGACTTCAGAGCCTGAAAATGTGCAGGGCGTGCGTGATTGAAAGCACGGCCCAGCGCAGAACCCAGGATGGTGTCCTTCGAGAAGATCCTGCAGGTTTCGAAGGGGCGATGGCAGGTGTGGCAGGACTGGCTGATGTCAAAGTCGGTCCATCTTTTCTCCAAAGCATCATGTGAGCTTGATAGTCGCATTTTCCGAGTCCATCAATGCGCCTGGGGGAATAAGTAGACAGGGAGGCTTTGACAAGGTGCCGCCTCCACTATTCCAAGCGTGAGGAGATCGAAGACATGAGCAAACTTCAAGCCAGACCCCCGGGTCTGAGTTCTGCTTGGCTGCTCAAAGTTGGTACAGACGTGGCCAGCAGCTTGGCTTTGAGGATATCCAATTTTGTAGCTGCCGGGGGCCTGGGACACCCATGCGGGTTGGGGCTCGGGAGGGGACTTCCGCCCCAATCCGAAATATGTGCATCCGGTCCCTTCAGTTCTTTGCCATGGCAGGTAGATTCCTTTTTGGGCAACATCTAAACCGCGATGTACCTGTTTAACAAGGGCACTGTCATGTCAACCCGTTGCAGAGGCAAGACCTCCACGCACGTAAGCTTGCGCAAGCAGAGGTTGAGGGTCAAGCTCCGCGTAGCTTTTGGCAGTCCTGTAGTTCACAAAAGCCAGCAAAACTCTACAGGCAGTGTCTGCATTCGGCGCGCGGTTATGTTTCTAAGGGCTCCTTGGGTACTTTGCGTACTACAGTCGCACTGAATAGTGGGAATTTTCCAGCTGGAGCTGCAAAAGTGTACCTTCTGCACTACACTTGTGCTGAACAGTTGTGATTTCGAGCTGGAGCTGCCAAAAAGGACACGCCGTCGCGTCAGCCACCTTTCCAGCAATGGCAAGCGGTGTTCCAAGCACAAGGGTTGCGTAAGGCCCACTTACTTGTACTCGAAGCCGTGCCATGATAAGGACTCCTTTTAAGGAACCATGACCACGGCCCACGCAATCAGCTTTGACCATGGCGCACCTGGTATGCAAGCATGGCACGTACCGTAAATGAAACAAGTCAGAGGGGGCCAGAGATGCAGGGATGTCGACGCCGCCAGGCAAACCAGGCCGCCAATGAGTATCGTCGGCCAGCGCGTCGCGTAAGCCAAAGCATGGGCTGCGAGCGTAGGCAGATGCGACGCGACACCGTTTCTGGGCATGGCTCAGTCTCTTTCGGGACTCGAAGCCAACTCCTTGGTTTCCCTTGGGCTTCGTGGTTTCAGCATCAGGTGGGCGAGGCGGTGGAGCACCTGCTCTCCCTGCAGCAGCACGACATGGCGAGGACGCTGGCCTGGAGCCAAGGCTTACGCTTCGAAGTGGAGCCCTGGACTTGTGCCGTGTTGCACCCATAGCCGAAAACACGCCGTAAATTCGATGTAAAGACCAAAGATATCATAAACCAATAGACATAATACAAGCTATGGTTACTCTGACTAGCGCCAACCCATGTAGTTGTTGGTTGGTCTGTGATCAATGGGTGCCAGCAGCGGCCGCCTTTTTAATTCCTTTCATGATCATGGTGGTTTTGGGTAGGCCGCTTGAATACCAGGTTTTGATTTATGACATGTGAGAGTGTCCAAAGCCGATGAATTCAATGATGCGACCAGCAGAGGCCTATTTGCCAATCAACAAATGCACCCCAACAGGTAGTCTGATCTTTTGCAAGCTCTCGTTTCATGAGAGATCATTGCATTTAGGAATCTAGGATCTTCAGAGACCGCAGGCCAGCTCATGGCAGCCATATCAAAGTTCTGGTTCTTGGCTTTTGGCCTGTGACGCCGTCTGCCGGAGAAGCTTCGAAATGAAGGACCCCCAAAGGAAACTTGATGTCCTTTGTAGTTGGCAGCGACTTGAACAGGGCTGATTTGGTATGATGTTGGCTGTTCCCAGGACCAGTCACAGTCACTGTTGGGAGAACTTCAATGTTGGCACTAGCGAATTTCATCCAATTCGCGTGTCCCGCACAGAACACCCAAAGGGACGGTCACGCTTAGGCTCAGATGTATGGAATGACCGACCCGCTGCACTCCCTAGAGCTGTCCCGCTTGCACTACCTCTTTACTACGCTGCCCGGACTGAGAGCATTCCAGCAATGGCAGACCCTTCCAGTATGCTCAGCATGCGGCATGAAGCAACAGGGTGGTTTTTGCCTGCGTGCATGAAAGCGTTCCCTTGCGCGTGCGCAGGTCTGTCTGCGTCCTGCCCTGTCCCAGTCCCTGCCTCTGCCTTTGTCTCTGTCTCTTTATCTCTCTCTCGTTCTCTCTTCCTCTCTCCCTCTCTTTTTTCTTTCCCTCTACTCTCTCTCTCTCTCCCTCTCTTCCTCTTTTTCTCTCTCCTCCCTCCTCTCTCTCTCTCTTCCTCTTTTTCTCTCTCCTCTCTCTCTCTCTCTCTCTCCCTCTCCTTCCTCTCTCCCTCTCTCTCTCTCTCTCTGTCTCTCTCTCTCCCTTTTTTTTCTCGCTGTCTCTGTCTCTCTCTCTCTCTCTCTTTTTCTCCCTCTCTTTTTTTGTCTCTCTCTCTCTCTCTCTTCGTCAAACAAAGGACCCCTCTACAAGGCTGGCTTCCTGTTGCTTTTTTGTTTTCAATTGAGCTGGGGTGCGCTGTGAGCATCTTAGGGCCTCTTTGTCGCCCTAAGTATAGACTTTGTTGCCTAATTGTTGATGTTCATGCTGGAAACGGCTCACCTCAACTTCAACCCATGTGCGTGGTGTCGACCCCTCTTCCAGGCACTCAAGAGATTTCCAATGCCTTCTTGGTTTGGACAACGAGCTGGAACTCGCTTCATTTGCACCTGAGGAAGAACGACAAGACAAATGCCGTCAACAGGCCTGGTAGGGCAAGCTACCGATGTGCTCGCAGAGCTTTAAGTGGTTTGGGCCAATGGTCCACAAAGCACAGGACCCCCCCAAAGTAAAGCTTCGGAGAAAGAGGCCACTGGAAGTGTTCGTGTTTCTTGCCTACGTGGCTTGGCGCCACGTCAGTTCCGAGACAGATGCTTTGCGAGCGATGCCATTAGCTCAAGCCACCAATGGCTTGCAACTGCTTACTGAACCGTTGAGGCAGCGGGCTCAGCAAATCGAATTCCTTGGCAGTTGGGCACATTCGGAAAGAATGGGAAAACCACGCAGATGTGGGTGCCTACCCCCAGTGATTTTCAAAATTGTTTGCATTAGACAAGTTGGTATGGCCTCTCGCTCATTATTCCTATGTCGCGACCGACGTGCAAGCGCCGAGAGCTCTGCGCTGAGGTCCAAACACCTTCGTGGACCACATGCAGCAACTTGGAAAGGGGGGGGGTGCAAACATGGCCGGCTGCATTCTTGCCAACTCTCAAGCTCCAGGCCCAGAAACAGCAAGCAAACAGTATGCCTTTGAGTGGCTTCTCTACAGCTGGGCAGAGCAAGCTCACGCGTCCTACGTATGCTATGCTAGTCATTGATCGAACAGGCATCGCAAGTTTCCAGATTTAGTCAGCAGACAGCATCGATTGCAGGCGGTGGTGTTGTCGTGTTGGAGCTTTTGTGCGCAAAGCAACACTCGGCATGCACAGATATGCATAGTGCAGCCCCATCGGCCAAGGAAGAAACTTGTCGCTGCCGTCCTCGGCTCCATTCTTTCTCATGGCCATGCTGGCCTCCTGGCCAAAGGAAAGATGGCAAGGATGGATAACAGCGTGGGCAGGAAAGGGCCTGTTTCAAAATGAGCACTCCGGAAGTTGGTTGCATTATTGGGTGTCCAGGGTATCCATATCTAAAACCCTGGCTACATTGGTTGGGCTTCTGCCTTTGTGCGAGCTAGCGTTGTTTTTGAGCCTGAGCTTAGGCAAAGAGCCAGATATTGATGAGATGGAGCGAGGCAGCATGTGCAGCTTTCAGTCTCACACTTGACAACTTGCAGGTTTGGGGGGCTTTCTCGCTCATATCCTTGATCGTCCGGCCAGGGGATTTTTTGAACTTGATGCAGAAGTCCACTGGTCTTCGGGGGCTGATCAGAGAGAGGACAGATGCTGCTTGGAGCGATCGTGCAAGTGCAAGTTTGTCTACCGAAATATCCCATTGGTTTTATGTCTGGCTTCGCTTCAACAGCCAAAAAGGGATTCCAAAAAAAAGACGCGGCACAGGGGAGTCGTCCGTGAGGTCCTTGTATTGAGATATGAAGAGGACGCCATGGAATGCCTTTTCGTCTCAGTATTGCCCGCTGCGAAGCTTCGCGATGGAGTTTGAAAAAAGAAAAGTTATGTTTGACGAACGTGTTGTTTGACCGGGCACAAGGAATTTCCGGGAAGGAATTGTAGACAACCGCCTTGTGTCAAAGATGCAGCTGGGGCAAACCGAACATCGGGTCACAAGCTTGGGGGAGCTCAGGCTCATTGGTCAGCTCCCTTCCGAGAAGCTCTGGTGGTTTCAATCCGCTCAGCACCTAGCTTCGAGCTGACTGAATGGAACAAGTTGGGATTTCAATGATCCTTCATACAGAAAGCCCCTGCCATGTTTTTTTTGAACGCAGAGACTTCTACTTTCGAGAGTTTGCTGGCCTTGTGCTTCTGATTTTTTCCTGTCACCCCTGTACTTGCTGAATGTCCGCTGAATGTTCACGGCAGTTCGGTGTCACCCGGACACGTCTGGGCCGGCCAAGAACCAGATAGCTACAAAGTCTCGGAGGCCCAGCTACAGGACGGATTGGGCACGGAGCTGGGACGGCGAAGCAGGCAGCCCAAAGAAGGCCAATTTGAAGGCAAGGCGCCACAAGATTTATCGCCCCACCAGCGAATTGCTTGAATGCAGCCGCACATGGTTGGTTTGGGTCACATTCATTTGAAAAGGAACATCCTGCAAATCGCGTTCTCGTGAATGGGGTTGCGTAGAGCTACCCAGATGCGCAAGCTTTTGCGCTTGAGTGAGCAGTGAGCAGTCTACGTGCCCGCGTGTGTGCATCAGTTACTATGAACGTAGGCGTGTGTGTGTGTGTGTGTGTCGAATCCTGCTTGCTCGTTGTTTGCAGAGAAACAAAAGGTAAACCATCCCTTAGTTGGTGGGTTGGGCATTTGAACGCCCCGGTTCTTGTAAAGGGTAGATGGTGAAACCACCCCACCTTCAAATCAAGTCATGCCCATGGGCCCAGGCCGCAGGCTTCACAGCTCTTTGCTTTGGCAGTTCCTTTGTATGAATATTCAATGCTTGGAATATCCGCACGCATGGATGGCAGACATAAATTCTGATGTAAATGAAGTCGGTCTCCACCAAATATTCTTCCCATGTCCATGCTGGGGCCCAAGCCAGCTGGCTCTTCACAGGATGTTCACTCCTTGCCCCTTTGCCAATCTTGCTGTGCAGGAGAATGGCGTCCCGGCAGAAATGGTGCGACATGGCTGCAGATGGGCCAGGGATTCATGTCATTGCATGGCTGGTTGCGTGGCTGGTCCCGGAAGCCCTACGTGCTGAGCCTAAGGCGAGGTTATGATGGAAAGTCTCCTCAGGAGGCAGGGCTAGCACTCAGAAAGCCGATCACCAGATGCCACGGCATCGCTGGCAGAGAAGAAATGCGAAGAAGTACGTTGCCAACGCTTTGTCTCTGTAGCTGTTCGTTGCATTCTACCCTGTGTTCTAGCCGCATCGAGCCGCCAATTGAAACATGACTACACAATATGTGAGGATATTCAAGCGAATGCACTCTGTCTTGAACATGAATTGCGCATATCAAGGTTGCATGCTGTGCTTAATCATTTCCTTCACGTCACAGCACCATGAAAGAGAACGGTTCCCTAAGGTCGATGAAGCCTTGCGCCTTCTGACAGAGTTCAGGGCCTCAGAGTCGCACATGTTTTGAACTGGTGCATGCATCAGATGAGGAGCAAGCAGCTGTCAAGCAGTAGACATATTAGTAATTTGTCAACCTATCTGACTCAGAAGCTGAAAGAGACAAGGAGATTGGTTGATTGAACAGAGTTGCCTTTGACTTAGTTTTCCGTGAGTATCCCTCGCTCCGATGTTGCGACCTTGTGCCAAGGTATGGGAACACTGCTAGCCTGCATCCGACGGTGAGCAACTGGCTGCTGTGTATGCACACATCTCCGGGCAAGCCGCCAAACGTCGGTGCTGGCCTTGGTTGACGTATGAGACATGACATTGGTGTGGCGTGAACACCCGCGTCCACAAGGGAGCTGGAACTTGGGCAAAATATTCTGCTTTTCTCGCGTGGCACAATGAATGCACAAAAGCTGCGTGCAATGTTCTGCGTGTTGGTGGCCGTGCCAGTCTTCCAAGATATTTTGAATGATTATCACGCGCATGCGTGGATCCGAGTGATGCAGGCCTATTCGTTCTCACCGCGTGTTATTTTCTCCGCCCAGCAAAGCAACTTGAAATGCACAGGAAGTATGGAGTCGCCTTCACTTGGGATATTTTGTTCAGACACATTTGCCGACCATCTACCCGGCATTTTCATGACGTATGGAATGACAGTTCCCATCGCATCCCTGCTCCGCAACTGTCACCCGCTGTTCCATGCTCTTCGATTGCATGCGCGGCAAGCCGTCTTCCCCGCAGCAGAGTGTTGCTGGCACGCTCTTGGTCTCCGGCTCGTGCTTGCTTGTCTGGGGTGAAAGCCTTGCAGGGATTCCTGTGACAGTGCAGATCCCATTCGTTTCTTTCCTCGCTTGCTGTGTTTTGCTGCTCTTGCATATGATCTCGCTATACTTCTATTTCATGCTGCAGAACCGTATCGACGAGGAGTAAGGGACCAAGTCGCAGTTTGGTGCACATTTCTCACAATTTTCTGTGGCTATTTGGTGCAAATGCGGGATCATCTCGCTTTGGGGGGCACTTCCGGAGCTCCCTCCATTCATTTTGGCAGTTCTGACCTGGCTCTCTCCCACAAATGGCTCATTTGTGGTCGGTCCAACAGCAATTGCGATGTGCAAGACTGCGGTAGAGACAGCTGGTATCTCGGTAATTGCAGCTGCTGCAGGCCTATTGGCGGGGTAGGCCGTTTCACTGGTATCACGAAGTCACTATGTATGCATACTCATCTCTCGGCGGGGGATGGATGCCCCTAATTTGATCACTGTAGCGCACTCAGTGTTCTTGAAGATCTTGTTGGCTTGTTTGTGAGATGATAAGTACATCTAATGATTCAACAGTATTACACATCATGATGCCTGCTGAATCGAAATCAAGAGGGTGTACATCAACCACAAAGAGTGCAACAGCTTGTTGATTTTCTATAAGCGAGAACCCTCAAATACAGGTAATGTTGACGACCCCATATTACTCAACCCCAGTTTATCAATATGGGGGTGTTTCCCTCCACCAGGGACACCACCCCCTATTAATTGATAGAATGGGGTTGATGAATATGGGGTCAACATTAAAGAAAAGCATTACTTCCTGAACAGCACCCTAAAAATACCCGTGAGATGTGAGATAGGCAACCAGAACATCAGCGCTTGAGAACTAACAAGCTGTGTGAGGATCACGTCACCGAACCCCGCCAAACAAAATCCACACGGCCTCTGACGCAAAAGTGGGGCCCAGGTGCTGCCAGCTCGGAATTCTGGCACAACCTCTTCAGGTCCAGCCCGAGGTGGGGCAACGGGCACCAAAGGCGTTTGCTTGCGCGAATTTTGACTCTGTTGGGACATGGCTGTGGGTCAAAAATACGTACCGAAAATGGCTTGCCCCGGTAAATGGAACCAAAGACTAAAACCTGCGGTCCCTGGAAATTTTACTTTGACCCATACCCATATCTACAATCTGCTGAGTCAAGATTAGCGAACTGGCGTTGTGGTGGATGGAATGGGGTCGTTGCGTGGATCGATGTTGATTCATCCGCAAGTCCACAAAGCAGCCATTGAATTGTTGGAAGCTTGTGATTTATTCAGCAAGAAGTGATGTCCTTTTCTTGCAGTGTGTTCATTAATGTTCCTTATGAGGCCTTCAGCAGGAACGCAGTATCGCACGGATATCAACTATGTGAATGAATGTTCGATGCTTCCTTTGTTGTGTGCTGCCTTTCTGTGGTGAAGACGGGTGCTACAAGTCCAAGTCAATCATTCTACCGGCCCGAATAAACTTGCTGGTGCTCAGTAGAGAATGAGGGCATGAACCCTGGAGGTCCCCTTAGAGGAAACCACAAGGCATGGTTTATAGGGGGTCACTCCATTTCTCATTCCCTGGCCATCGCACCAGATCACCGTCAGCCACGTCTTGACCCCAAGTACTTAGCATTGACAAGACGATTGTTGCGGTGCCAGGAACGTATCTCAGCTTTTGGACCGGGACCAGCACAAGTGCGTCCCCAAGGCGGGCGGAAGCTGTCCTTTTCCTTAGAAGGCTAAGGTAACCCACTGAGTCTATCAGCAGTTTTTCGGGGTTTGACACTTAGGTCAACACCCACTTGGAGGCCCCTGCACGAGATTCCGTACCTCATCCTCTTGAGCTATGGTTTGCCCTCAAACAAAATGCACCGCCGCGTGTCAAAAGCATGGTCCCTTTCTGTTGGCAGGGTCGAAAGGAATTCAACCAGCCATGTGAAGGGTGTGTGGTTTTGACACACACACAACTTGATTGAACACTCCGAATGCCTGCGTGCGCACACGCACGCTCGCGCGCACGCACGCACACGCACACACATCCCTGCAGTGTGATTGATGGACAGTTCTTTCTGTGGCATTGCAATCACTTGATGAGGCATTGAACATGACAGCTGCTTTGTCAACACTCGTTCTTTGCCAAACATTTAGTACACCCGACTCCGGACATTCGTTATTGGAGCCTTACCAACACCGAGCACGACATTAGGCATTTTGACAGCGAACCCCCAATCTAGAAGCATTGTGTTATGTCACAAAGTGATAATGTATCTACGTACCTGCGACTTGTACTGGCTCTTGCAAGCAGGGAGCAACATTAACATCGTTCTACAAGCAGACACTTTCACCACTGTGAAGCCATACACTGGATCTGTGAAGGTAATGCAGACATTGCCATTGGGGCTTGCAGACCTTCCCATGGGGCTTCATGAGCCTTACCATGGATTCCTTTGGCAGCCTCCAGCTCCGGGATTTGTACATTTCACAGACATAGCAACATCTCTGTTGTCATTCGCAGGTCATTGCCATTGCGGCAGCGCACGTGCGGCTATGGCGGGATCTGGCCAGTGGGGCCTTGCCCACTCGCAAGGACCTGGGCGCGTCGGATGGTGCCTTGGTACGGCAGGTGCCACACTTAAATGAGAAGACAAGGGCAACCAGGACTATTCATACTTGATAATTCCCCCCCCCCTTGCCGGTAGCTTTTGTCAACTCATTCGAGGTATAGCGTTGACTGTGGAACTTTAGTGCTTGTTCTGCATGTGTTTGTTGATGTTGTTGGCTGCTTCGTGTCATGACTGTTCAAGTTGGCAGCAAGAGAGCTGGCGGTTCAAACTATCGTGCATTTTACGTAGGTAATCGGTGAAGGCCTGGTAGCACAAGAAGTTGTGATTGTATGTTGGAACATGCTCAACGCTTCGGCTTCAGCCCTTCGCAAGACAGCTATACTCATGGTCCACATTTTTCTTGGTGCCTCTCTCTTCGCTTCTTCTTGAGGGCTAGTCCAAGAGTCCATCCATGTTTCTGCGCACAAGCGCAGGTGATCCATGGTATTTGGTCATGGAAGACGATGTGGACTTTTGCCCTGGCTGGCGTCAGCGCATCATGGAGGAGTTGCCTCTCCTGCCACAGGACGCTGAGGCCGGAGAAAAATCAGGGAGGCCGGCGCCTGACCAATGATCAGTTGGCATGGCGTATCAGACCGCGGCAGGCTGAATGACACGTTTTTCACCGCAGAGCAGCTTCTCTGTGCGCGTGTGGACGCAGAACACTGTTGCAAACAGAGAGGCCATCTCCTGCGGCTGGTTGTTGGTGGACCTAAATCCCCATAATAAATGACATCCGCCAAAGGGTTCCCAATGAAATTAAAGTTCAAGCCCATTTGTTCCACTCCGAATATGACCGCTAGAATTAGTCTTCTTTGTATTGTTGAGACGTGAGCAACATGTTTCGCGAGTACTGCATCAAGTAGTATAGCTGTTTGTTTGTCGTGCGTATCAAAGCTGCCGGGAAGTGATGTAGACCTCACATACCAGAGTAGCATTTTCTACATATCTTCATTGCCGAAAGTTGGTGGCCTTTAGAGGAAATCACTTGTTTCGCAGAGTTCTCAGTGGCAAGCCATCATTCAGGAAGATGTCGCCACGTACTTTTGCTGCGGGTCGAGTTGAATTATCTCATCGGCTGCATCGCGTTTGTGTGAGAGGATGACCTTACACTTTATTTCATGAACCTGTGACAATTTTCAAATGCCACTGGTAGGTTGTGAAGCTCTTCTTCTTCGGTCATTGGCGCAAAGAGGATCAGGCTCGCCTTGGTTCATCTCTCCTCTGGTGGCAATTCCATTGTACTCAAAGCAGCTGAGCACTCGGCGCAAGTCACCTTGGTCACGCTCTTGTCTCCCCACTTTGGACTAGGGGGGGGCGGGGGGAGTGGGGCAGCACTTGGCTTTGTGGGCGTGTTCAGGTGAGTCACGGATCGATTTTGACAGGGCAGTGCCTTCTGACAGTCGGAGGCTTCTTTGCTCGACATGGGACTCAACTGTGCGGTCCACGCACACGTGTGACACGCGCAGATGTGAGAAACCATCATCCCCTAGCACGTGGCATGCCAAATGTTGGCATGCCTGCAAGCCTCGTTGCTCAAGGTGAATGGGCGACATGTGTTCATACCCACAAGGCAGCGATAGAACTGAGCCGCCCAGTCGCCAGGTGATGCTCAACTCGAGCAACGCCACTGTGCCGGCCGTGCCGGGGCCGTTTATTGCAGCGCAGAACCCCCTGAAGTCCTTCGACCTGGTGAAGGCTGCCACCTACGAGATCTTACATGGAGCCCTTTCGGCAGCAATGAATCTGTTTGTCTCTCTGTACAGGAGCGTGTAGAATGAAGACATATTAAATGTTATGTGTATTGTTGAGAGAATGGCAGGACTCTTACTGTACCTCTTTACCTGAAGTGACAAACCTGTGAGTGTAAGCCAGGCAAGTTGTAGGCACTCTGTTTGTGTCCTGGAATGCGTGGAGCCGCAAGGTTTTCATGTGTGGAACTGTAGCGGGCGCCGCATGCCATGTGTGAGGAATGGTTGTAAGTTGTATTGTAACACCCCCCCTCAAATTGTACAGAGGAGCTTGTACACTCTACAAATGTAGGTCACTGCTATGTACGCGAATCTTGCCTTCGAGATGATGTAAGTGTGTTGATCGAAACTGATTTGCAGTGAGCAGCATCTCTGTGCAACAAAGTCCGTTACCTTCGACTCGTGTACACAGTCTGAAGCAAAACACATGCAGAATGATGTAAACTGTTAAGTTGATACATCGGTATCCCTGCTCCGTGTCAGCATTCAGATGTACGCAGCAAAATTGTATGACCAAATGGGATGTGCCACTCAGGCCAGATGTCATGCAAAAAATGCATTTGCCACTGTAGGAGCGATTTGGGCCAAGTGGTGCAAGAGCCTGTATCCTTTCTGTTGCTGAAGGATCAGCTCCGTGTTGTAATAGCTCACAAAGTACTCCGGGTAGGCTGTCCCCCGGGTAAGGTGTCTCTGCAATGATAGCGTGCAAGGATGACGTAGGGGTAGATGTTCTAAAATCCTACCACAGACCTTGACCTTGTACACTAGTGCAAGCGTTGTTCTAATAGACCGTCAGCTTGTGTGTGAAGCTATTTGCCAAATTGAAGAACCCGTGAAGCATAGACCCTGTCGAATGGTCAACTGGCGCATGTGCCTGCTGCATAAAAGCTCCTGTTGGTCCACCTGTAACTGCAGCATGTAGAAGATGTCCTTGTTGTTGAGTCATTGCCCCTGTCATGTATCCCACGCTGTCAATAGATGCAAAGCTGGCAAGAGAATGCTTGCGCGAAGCTAACCAGGAAGCTCTGCATGTACCCGATGTGAGGAGCTCCAGGTCGTCTGTGGCGTTGGGAATGTAGCCAGCCACTGTGTGCGTTGTGTCCCCCCTAGGCCTTCGCAAGATGTGCTCAAGGGGCAGCATGTACTAGAAATGGCTGCATGTGTTCCACTGTTGGATGGTCCTGTTCGGCTTGGTTCAGGGTTGCTTTCAGCTTGGTTGGGGTGGGTTTAGGGTGGGTTCAAGGTTGGCCTCGGGTTGGTCTAGGCTTGGTTTAGGGCGGGTTGTGTTACGGTTGGTTAAGGGCTAGTTTAGGGTGTGTTCATGGGGTTTGGGCTGGGCTTGGGGTTGGTCTGGGGTTGGGTTTTTGGTTGGTTTGGAGTTAGTTCACTGTTGGCTCAGGGTGGGCTTAGGGTTGCTTCAGGGTGTCTTCAGGGTTGGTTTAGGGTAGGCTTTGGGTTGTTTCAAGCTGGGTTTAGGGCTGGTTTTGGGTTGGCTTAGGCGTGTTTTAGGGTTGGCCTAGGTTTGGTTGAGGGTGGCTTAATGATTGGTTCGGGGGTTGGGGTAGAGTTGGTTTGAAATTTAGGGTGTGTTTATCGTTGTCTTAGGGTTGGTTATGAGGGATTGGTGTAGGACTGGTTTAGGTTGAATTAGGGTTAATTTAGGATGGGTTAAAGGGTGGAGCGTTGGGTTTGTTTGGGGTTGGTTAAGGGCGGGTCTTACAGCTGGTTTAGAGTGGGCTTGGGGTTGGTGTTTGGTTGGGTTAGGGCTGGTTTTGGTGGGTTTAGGGTTCGTTTGGAGTTGGTTTACAGCTGGTTTAGGGTGGGTTTATGATTGGTTTGGGGGTTGGGTTCGGGTTGGTTTAGGTTGGGGTAGAGTTGGTTTAGGGTTTGTTTAAGGTTTGCTCAGGCTTGGTTTAGGGGTGGTGGTGTAGGGCTGGTTTAGGGTTGGTTAAATTAGGGTTGACTTAGGGTCCTGTATGCACATGGGTGTTCAGCGCAAAGACTTTGTTCCGTCCTTACCATAACCGAATCCGGGTAGGACCGCCTAAATTCCCAATGGAGGTATTGGGTGTGTGTTTTTGAGGGCAACCTTTTTTCAGCTTGGTTTGGAGAGAAATCAAGAGAACCCCTAGCATGTTTGGGGTCCCCCCATTTGGAAACGCACACGGAGGTGTATGTGCTTCAGCAGGTGTGCCTACGCTTGCAGCTGCAGCCCAATTAGTTTGAATGCTGTAAGGCCGTGTTTGACGCTATTGTTCTGCATGCGTTCAGCTCGCACAAGGCATATCGAAGGGCTGGCAATACAAGTAAGGTCCGGCAGAGCCGGGGGGCGGAAGTTTCAAAGCAGTGAACAACTATAGTTTGGAGAACTGTCCTTGGCCCCTTGCTTCTCTCTCTCTCTCTCTCTCTCTCTCTCTCTCTCTCTCTCTCTCTCTCTCTCTCTCTCTCTCGGTCTTGTGTGCTGTTTTCAGTTGTTTTTCTTTTCCTTTTCCACAGCTCTCATCCCAGTGCGCCAAAGCCAAAAAAAACAACGAGCGCTTCAAGTTCGACCCTTCCTCTCTCCCCCCCGAGAGCGCCTTTTCTTTGCATCTGCTCAAGCTGTGCTGTAGTCTGGGCTGGCACGAACACGCGGCCGGAAACGGCACGCGTGTCAAGCACGAAAGCTGCGCTTTTCTCTTCGTCTGCTCCGGCGGTGCGGCAGTCTGTGCGAGCACGCGGCCCGACACGGCACGTGCCGACACGAACACGCGGCCCGAAACGGCGCGCGCGTCAAGCACGAAATCTGGGCGAGGTCAAAGCCTCCTTTACTCTGGCAACCTTAGTCAACGGAGTCATTGCCATGGTTTTTTCTTGCCACGAGCCAGCAAAACATAAGTCAAACCTTCTCGGCTTTCCGCTCGCGTTTCTTACTCCTTGGACAGTGCTTGGTCGCTGCGCGCGCGGCCCGAAACGGCACGCCCGCGCGGCTTTGATCTCTATATGGCCTCGGCGTCACGCGGCGTGCCAAACGTGCGTGATTTTTTCCTGCGAAGCGGCACAAAGCAGCACGAGACATTTTCTTTGTGTCTATAGCGCACGGCCCGAAGCAGCACGCTCACTGCGCGCGGCTCGAAATAGCACGCCTGCTCGTGTCCGCCACACGCGGCCCGAAACGGAAAGCCTGCCCCTTCTTCTTTCATTTATGGCCCTACGCGCATAACCCTATAGTTTTTTCTTACTGCGCGGAAACTTCCAGTGTTTTTATCCTAGCGCACGGCCCGAAACGGCACGCTCGCTGCGCGCGGCCTTGCCCGCTGAACTTTATACCCTATATGTTTTTTAACTTTGTGCTGCTTGGATACTTTTGGCGGTTTGTATCCTAGCGCGCGGCCCGACACGGCACGCTCGCTGCCCGCGGCCCGAAACGGCACGCTCGCTCGGCTTCGCGCTCTAGCACGCGGCCCGAAACGGCACGCTCGCAGCGCGATAGTTTTTCCTGGCTGGCCTCACGCGCTCCGCCGACTTGACTTTGTGCCCAATAGTTTTTCCCTGCCGCGCGGAGACAATTGTTTTTCTTATCCTAGCGCGCGGCCCGAAACGGCACGCTCGCTGCGCGCGGCCTTGCCCACCGGACTTTTCACCCTATATTTTTCTTTACGCTGCTTTGATACTTTTGGCGTATTGTATCCTAGCGCGCGGCCCGACACGGCACACTCGCAGCGCGATAGTTTTTCCCCGGCTGGCCCTGCGCGCTCCGCCCACTTAACTTTATGCCCAATAGTTTTTCCCGGCCGCGCGGAAACTTTTGTTTTTCTTACCCTAGCGCGCGGCCCGAAATGGCACGCCCGCTGCGCGCGGCCTTGCTCACTGGACTTTTCACCCTATATGTTTCTTTATGCTGCTTTGATACTTTTGGCGTTTTGTGTCCTAGCGCGCGGCCCGAAACGGCACGCCCGCTGCCCGCGGCCCGAAACGGCACGCTAGCTCGGCTTCGCGCTCTTGCGCGCGGCCCGACACGGCACGCGCGCAGCGCGATAGTTTTTCCCCGGCTGGCCCCACACGCTCCGCCCACTTAACTTTAAACCAGCAGTTTTTTTCCCCGCCGCACGGGAACTTTTTTTTCTTAGCGCGCGGCCCGAAACGGCACGCCCGCTGACACGGCACGCTAGCTCGGCGCCGCGTTCTTGCGCGCGGCCCGAAACGGCACGCTCGCAGCGCGATAGTTTTTCCCCGGCTGGCCCCACGCGCTCCGCCCACTTAACTTTAGGCCCAGCAGTTTTTTCCCCGCCGCACGGGAACTTTTGTTTTTCTTATCCTAGCGCACGGCCCGAAACGGCACGCGTGCTGCCCGCGGCCCGAAACGGCACGCTCGCAGCGCGATAGTTTTTCCCTGGCTGGCCCCACGCGCTCCGCCCACTTAACTTTATGCCCAGCAGTTTTTCCCCGCCGCACGGGAACTTTTGCTTTTCTTCTCCTAGCGCGCGGCCCGAAACGGCACGCCCGCTGCCCGCGGCCCGAAACGGCACGCTAGCTCGGCTTCGCGCTCTTGCGCGCGGCCCGAAACGGCGCGCTCGCAGCGCGACAGTTTTCTTGGAAGCAACATAGCCAGATTCGGACGTCAATGTAAAAAGCTGCAGAAGCAAAACGGTGACAACTCGCTCCAAAATCTCCGAAACAGGGCCCTCTGAAACATGTACAACAACTGGCCACCTACTTCAATGGGATCACTGGCATCAGAAATCAACCAATTGTTGCGTTTTCTTGTCCCACAAAGAACGTTGCAAGAAAAACAGAGCTCACAGCAGTACAACCTAGCTGTGGTTCAAACATAGGAGGCCCCTAGAAACGGCACGCTAGCTCGGCTTCGCGCTCTTGCGCGCGGCCCCAAACGGCACGCTCGCAGCGCGACAGTTTTCTTGGAAGCAACATAGCCAGATTCGGACGTCGATGCAAAAAGCTGCAGAAGCAAAACGGTGACAACTCGCTCCAAAATCTCCGAAACAAGGCCCTCTGAAACATGTACAACAACTGGCCACCTACTTCAATGGGACCACTGGCATCAGAAATCAACCAATTGTTGCGTTTTCTTGTCCCACAAAGAACGTTGCGTTTTCTTGTCCCACAAAGAACGTCGCAAGCAAAACAGAGCTCACAGCAATACAACCTAGCTGTGGTTCAAACATAGGAGGCCCCTAAACATCTGAAGGAAAAACAACGGCTCCCCTGCCCTTGCTGCCTCAGCCTTATTGAGTCATTCTCGCGCGTGCGTTCCCGTCATCCCTGCCAGTCGTGTTCCCCCCTCGGTCGTTTTCACGGACTCGCGCGGCGTCCGCCCTGTTGTTGCAGCGGCCATTACGAATCGAAACAATCTAACCAGTGACAGCAAACAAAGGGACCTGAAACGCCGGTCGGCCGCGCGGCACCGGCGCCCGCCCACAGCCCTCACCGGTGCGCGCGCCTGCCGCCGCTACGAAAAGGGGACCACACTAACCACGACAAACATGCGTAATGACCGCGGCAACAATAGGGCTGCTTTGTCAAGGTAAAGGCCGCGCGCCGCTCGAAACAGCAAGCGCAGCGGCCAGCAGTGCTGGCTACACAAAAGGATGCTCAAGGAGGGCGCAGCTTGCTCAAAGGAGAAAG